GACCTATTTGTAATAAATGTTACATATTTATTTGGACATAAGTATGTACAATAAATAGGCTATATTTGTTATACATGATTTCTCTTTAGTTTTTAAAAAATTAATGTAAAATTGAATGTCAATTAATAAGTTACTTAATTTTAAATTGTGTTAGGCCTACCTAATTTAACTCAAAACTTTGAAAATGAGAATGAAGTTAAACTGCACCATACTTCTGTCTTGTCCATGAAAATATTTTATTTTAACTCATGAAACCCTACTAAAATTAGTATTTTACAATGCACGATCCAAACTTAATACAGTAGACTCCCTCTTATCCGGACACCTTTTAACCGGACATCGGTTTAACCGGACTACACTCAGCGGAAATGACATCTCTTTAACCGGACAATTTTTATCAGCACATTGGTTTAACCAGACTAGATCGGCAGAAAGTGGGTAGTACTGAAACGACTTTTCTCGAGGGAAAGATTTGAGACCAGTGATCACGTGTCTAAATAAAATTATCTCCTAAATTTATAAGTCGAATATCACAGTAAACAGTCCGTTTTAACGGGTTTTTGGGGACGTTGGTTTAACCGTAAAACCCGTTATCCAGACTGGCCTCGGTCTCGAGGAGTCCGGATAAGAGGGAGTCTACTGTAATCTACAAAACAAAAAAAATGCATGCCAAAAATGTTAATAAATAAAGTATTTATGACGATTTTCCTAAACACCTGCATTGGTGTGGAAAACTGGTCGGAATTCCTAGAAGCAACACCACAAGTAGGCCTAGGAAACCTCAAATAAAATTGTTTCACCCGTTCGAGGCACTCAAAGGGTTAAGCAAAGCACAAAACTGTCAAGTGAAATCCATCTATGTAAATAAACAAATTTTAACCCATCTTCTTTTAATGAAATAGCCTACCCTATTTTCAGAAAATTTATGACCAACAGCTTTTTTCAGTAAATTTTAAGTTCCCCAAGTAGGCTAGGCCTATATCTTTCCCGCCCGAAAATATTCTTGGAAATCTCGGTGACGTTTACTGAACATAACCTCAATCAACATGAATGGATTCCACATAGTAGAGCATAAGCAACCGAGGCTAATGAATGCAGAGCTTTGAAGTTGTCAAAACTTGTAATAGTATCTTGATGAAAGACGCTAGTTCAATGAAATTTGACAACTGCGTCTGAACTGTAAGTTATTGTTTTTGTTTTTAAAAAAGCGTCTTTCCATTCCCTGAAAAGCGGACGGATATATGTTTTATAGCAAAGGGTTTCGAAGACTAGCTTCCTGTTCCTGTGTTACAACGGAAGTTTATGATTGTAGTGACATTTGAAGTGTTTGCCTTACCTTTGTAATTAATAAAATCGATGATTAGTTATAAATTAATATTATAATTAATTTAACTAAATAGTACACCCATAATCTTATTCAATAACTCAATTTCGATCCTTAATAGGCCAACAAGTACGATTAAAACTACTATTCCAAGATGGCGTCTGGTCCTGATGTTTGGTTCGACAGGAAACCACTTCTGGATTGAAATTACAGGCCACGCAAGAAATTCATACTATAATCCATGTGCAATACGTCTGAATGGATTTTTGGTATTGTACTTGCACTTTTTCGTACATTAAATGTATCTGTAATCAAATAAAATATGTTGTAATGAGGGATGGTATACATTATTTCGACTGTAATGTATATAAATATACAATGGTAGAATACGCTTTACATTCTACCTTTATTTTGTATCATTATCTCTATTAAAGGGCTTTAGACAGTGAGAAATGTTAAGAATTCTAGGGTTTGGTTTAGTCCAAGACAAATTTGTTGCAATGACATAAAAATTGAGCTAAAAATGATTGAGGCAATGGTTATTTAAAGTAATTTTGAACTGCCATTTTGTTATTAATGGTCCGATTTCTATTTTCTTTATGTTAATTGTTATGTTTCGTTAAGACATACAAAATAATACCAAACTCGACTATACTTTCTGTTTGAAAATTTTAAGGTACACCCTACCCCCGCTACCCCTTAGGGCAAAATTTTCAAAACTGACCATAATTATTGTAGCCTTTTTTATTCAAACAACTTGCCGCAAACCGATTTCAAATATCTCAAATAGTTGAAATTAAAAAGTTAAAGGGGGTTCAAGTTAATTTTTTTGTCTCCCTCATGGTTATTTGGATTTGAAACGTTTTAGGGCACCATTTTGTTATTAGTGAGTCGATTTTGGTTTTCTTTATGTCAATGTTAATGTTTCGTCAAGACCTGTAAAATGATACCAAACTCAACTATACTTGAAAATTTTGAGCTACCCCCTACCCCCGCTTCCCCTAAGGGCAAATTTTTCAAAATTGACCATAATTATTGTAGCCCCTCATATCTAAGAAGGTTTCTGCAAACCGATTTCAAATATCTCAAATGGTTGAAAAGTTAAGGGGGGTGCAAGTTACTTTTCAGCCACCCTGTACATATAGATTTATATACAGGGTGTTTTTTTTTAAAAACTTGCATCTTTATTTATGTAAAAACCGCAATAGATAGAAATATGCAGTTTGCGGGAATCATCTATTGACGTAGGGGGCCCAATTGTTTTGAATTCTACGTTACATTCACATTCCCTCCTTTCCCCCCCTGCCACCAACTTATTTTTTTTAAATAGCAAGGTACCCTTTGTGACATATCAAATGAAAGAGCATGAAAAAATAAAATGTTTGATGAAAAAAAATTGAAAATTGGTTCATAATTTTGCGAGATATTTCCCCCTCCCCCTCCCCGGAACTTAATTTTTTTTAATAGCAAGGTACCCCTTGTGACATATCAAATGAAAGAGCATGAAAAAAGAAAATGTTTGGTGAAATTTATTTTTCATTTGATATGTCACAAGGGCGGGTACCTTGCTATTAAAAAACAAGTTATGGGTAGGGGAAAGGGGGGGGATTATCTCGCATATTCATGAGCCAATTTTAAATTTTTTTCACCAAAAATTTGCTTTTTTTATGCTCTTTCATTTGATATGTCAAAAGGGGTACCTTGCTATTAAAAACAAATTAAGTTCCGGGGGGGATGGGAGAAATATTTCACAAATTTATGAACCGATTTTCAATTTATTTTCATCAAACATTTTCTTTTTTCATGCTCTTTTATTTGATATGTCACAAGGGGTACCTTGCTATTAAAAAAAAATTAAGTTCCGGGGGGGATGGGAGGAATATTTCACAAATTTATGAACCGATTTTCAATTTATTTTCATCAAACATTTTCTTTTTTCATGCTCTTTTATTTGATATGTCACAAGGGGTACCTTGCTATTTAAAAAAATTAAGTTGTGGTCAGGGGGGGAAGGGGGGGGAATGTGAATGTAACGTCGAATTCAAAACAATTGTGCCCCCTACGTCAATAGATGATTCCCACCAACTGCATATGTCTATCTATTGCGGTTTTTACATAAATAAAGATGCAAGTTAAAAAAACACCCTGTATATGTACGTCCGTGAACGCGATAACTTGAGTAATTTTTGTCCGATTTTGGTGAAATTTGGTTTAAAGGTGTAAGGCGGGATAAACTTGAATGAGTTCGCGAACCAGCATGATCGGACCATGGCAACAGGGTTTTACGGGAGGTTTTATGGGGTAAAAAATGGTTTTTCTCATTTTTGACCCTCAAAACACAAAATTTCCCAATTTCTCTCTAGAATTTTTTAAAGAGCTTAAAAAACAAATAATTTAGTTTATCAAAGTGTTTTTGTACGGTTATTGGTAACGGAGAAAATTCAAAAAATTGTAAATTTAAAATTCCCATTTTATTCTTATGGAGAAATATTGTAAACTGTTGTATTTTGCTTGTTTGTGGATATATTTGGATCAAACTTGGCAAATTTATTTATTTTATACTAAGCTATTAATATTTTACTAAAATACAGAATTTACAGTATTAGTTTCCTTCTTTCCTTGTAGCAGCAAACCTAGGTACTAGTTAAACCTAATGTTATTTAAATAAATTTGATTGAAAATCAATTCAGACAAAGGAAATTCGCTTAGTCGGCAGGTTTGCAGCGGCGGGGGTATTTAAATGTAACATTGTCGAAAACGCCGAAACCAAATCAAATCAAATCAAATCATCAAATCATTTTATTTAGCTAAAATTAACAATACATATTGCATTAGCTAAGTCATGGTACAAACGTACATTTTTAAATTATAAATTTTTCCTTATAAAACTATTTACAGTAAGGTAATTACAAACTATGGCTAGACAAAAATCATTTACAAAGCTCAGCTGTCGCTATCTATACGCCAGGGTTTACAGCAGTCCAGTTTCTATGGTCCAAGAACTCTTGGATGCTGTAACAGGAGATATTAACTAACTGTCTTTTTATGCATCTTTTAAATTTTGAATGGTCTGATTCCAATTTAAGATAAAGGGGAAGGCTATTATACAGTTTGATGCCATTGTAAAGAGTATGTTTTTTGAAGAAAGATGTAGCATGTTTAGGAATTGGCAAATTATGAAAATTTCGAAGTGAATATGGGCAGATGCGGAAGTTTTCTGGAACAGTGAATAGATGAAGATTTTGTTTGACTAAGGTGAGGGTATCAAGAATGTATATAGATGGAAGAGTTAGGATTTTTGATTCTGAGAAGAACTTTCTACATGATTTACGTTTGGGCAGAGATAAAATTGTTCGTACAGCCCATTTTTGGAATTTAAATAGAAATTTAGTTTTTAAACTTTCATAGCCCCATATAGGTATAGCATAAGCTAAATGAGGATATATCAGTCCGTAATATACGGATATCCAGCTGTTACGGTTATTAGCATAGACATTCGGGTCAGTGACTGTGACAAATTTGTTTGTATTATGATCCATACCGTTTCTGTTATAATATCCGTGATTTTAAACATATGACTTTTTTCTTTTACTAACACTCATTACAGGATTTACAAAATTTTGTTTGTTAGGCTACATATAAATTATTTAAAAGTTATGTCTGTAATTTAGTTAATTTTATCCTGTTATGATGATGTTATAATTTGTATGCATTGAATTCAGTTAACTTAAATCTTAGTTGATTAATTATGTAGACCTACGTGAAACATTTATTTACGATTTAAACTATAATCCGTTCAGAGACAGGATTTTATTGCTCGCTCTGATCAAGTACAATACGAGTACTGTACAACGGCAGCATTGCTGGTGCGGTGCGAGTGCAAAGTGCAAAGTAGAAAAACAGAAAAACCTCTTGGTCTTGGAGCTTGGAGCTCCCTCTTCTACTACTTCCACTCCACTTCTTCCTAAGCAAAGTTGGTACGGAATTCGTTTATATTATTCGTGCACAATGGCTGCAGAACACCAGTACTTTTATGAAGATGAAGTGTTTAGGATTAATAAAAAAGGAAATATTGAGTTCGGAATGGTGCTTGAAAATTCGGAACTAGTTAGTAGTGATGAATCTGATGGTGAAGAAGGAGGCAGGATGAAACAAGGGCATATACGAGTTGCGTGGCACCCTTCGGGCGAGGAAGAAGTAATTCAGGAGAAAAAGGTTTGTGAAAATAATTAATTCCTGTCTGTTATTGTTCAGATTTGATTGCAGACAAAAAGTAACCTACATAGCTTAGTTGGCCTAGCATTGTTAAATTTGATCTAGATTAGGGTCGGATAGGGGCCTAATGCAGAAGGGGGGTTGTTAGGCCTATCTAGATAGATTTGTCAAATCATGTTTCATGTTGACAGGAATCCCTCTAGAAATAGGCTAGTCCTCTCAAAACGTTGATTTCAATGCTTTTCTCAGGCCCGGTAGGCTAATGATTTGCCTAACTTAATTATTGATTTATGGGCAAATATTTACCATAGGCCTACTTACACTGGGATATGATGTAATTTTTATATGTCTATTTTCAGTATTTTTACGCTGAATCCAAAAATGCAATCAGTTTTTGTCGGAGAGATTCCTAAGTGGCCGTAGTGGCCGTAAAACGATGGTTAGGATTACGAATCTAAGGATATTTGAGCGGTAGGCCTACTGAAGGTAACTTAATGGTAATATGGCGTGGTCTGGTCGGGTCCGTACTGAGTGAGGAGTGAGGACTGAGTGAGAAGAGCAAACAACTGTTATACTTGATCAAATGCGGAATGAAATCACATCATTTCGTTTTGAAATCAAATAATCAGTGAGGCATGTGAGGAAGGTATGAGTTGGTTCATTATAACCTAACCTTTACCTTACTAATCTAACCTCACTTCAAAACACTTAATATAGTCATGAATCCGCATAAAACAAGTCCGACCTATCTTCCTCACATGCCTTTTTTGACATAAAATGTGATTTAAAAATCAATATTAAGGTTCCTGGGTTGGGTTGCGTTAGGTTAGATTAGGTTAGGTTACCTTAGTTTAAAATAGCCTATTACATAACTTAACTTTCCTACTACAGTAACTTATGCAGAATATATTTTAACTTAACCTACCTTGCTTAATACTTTGGCCTAAACAGCTTTGCTGCGGCCTTATAAAACGCGTGGACTCGTTTGTTGTTAGGGTTCCGTTTCTTGAACTGGAACTCCGCCAGGTACCCGACGAAATGCTCGGACCTCACCCCGTATTTGGGGATGTGGTCTCGAACGTCTCTCCAACACCGCTCAATTCGGTTTGTATGGGCACCCGTGACGGGATCAATGAAGTCAGTACTATGGTTCACAGTTAAATGTTGGAAGCCGTACTCCTGCAATCTGCTGTAGCCTACGACTTCCAACAGTCAGTGATAATGGCACTGCCAGGCAAAACCCAGCGGCGGATTAGTCGAATTAGGGTGCGCCTTGAGCGGTCAGGAGCAGGGATTAAAAATGTTTTTGTCGAGCCTCTCTGCACTCCCCCCCAACACCCAGTTTCCCTTCACTCGCCTACCTCGGTTGTATTTTGCCTCGTCTATTTCAACAATCTCAGCTGGCCCGCTTAGTCTTTCAGAATTTGTTACACAAGCGTCAATGTACACTTCTCTTATAAACGAATACCAATCTACAACAGTTTTACTTGACAGATTGAGATTTGTTTCCAGGAATTTTTGCCGGGGTGGGTCTCAAAAAAAAAGATAGTGAGCGCGTTCTGGGAACATGTACCGGTGCCGCACCGGTGCAAAAAATGTGTCGTTCTGGGAGACCGGTGAGTTAACCCAGCAGACAGCTATTTCCTCTTTTTCCTCACCGGTGCAAGATTTATGCACCGGAGAAATTGTACGGTGCATAATACACCGGCGGCATCTGATTGGTCAGTTTCTTTGACAACAGCTTGCAGCTACGGCAAGATGGCGGGTCCACCGAATAATGTTCATTAGTTTTATAGGTTATGTTGCGCAATGAGTGAAAATTTGTTCAATGAGGGGGTTATATTACGTAATAAATAATAAATAATAGGTAGGTAATTTTCAAATAATTTATTCCGTGAGGGCAAGTCTGTTTGTTTGATTTAAATATTAGGCCTATAAAGCAAATAGTATGTGAATGTGTAAATTATAATCCGATGTGTACTTTAAACTGGTGACTTACCGTTCTGGGATACCAAGACTCTTGCCCCGGGGTGGCACCGGTGAGTAAGTCACCGGTTAATCTGAACCGGTACACCGGTACATGTTCCCAGAACGCGCCCAATGATTGACTAATTGCCAAAGCGTACGAATTTGTAATCTGGATTTGCCGAAAAAAGTGTCTACTCTGCAAGATCACACCTCCACCTCACTCACACCTTTTAGCTTTCTTCTTGTTAATTGAAACTCTGTTCCAGTATCTGAAAAACCACTTATCGTTCAATTTTATGTTTGAATTACACCTCGGACAATTCGTTTCGTTATTTACAACCCCGTGCTTAATTTAAACACTTTTAATTTTATTATCATCGAACACAACCGTTTCATAAAAAATGTTGGTCACACGCATTGCAAATATCAGCCATTACTAATTTCTAATTCGGCAACAATAATTAAACTTACTTGATAATTAATAAGTTGCTATTGCAGATGTTATTAATCTGGATCTATTTTCTGGGCACATTTTAGCGTAATAATCCATTGGTTGGTTAGCAAACTACATTACAGCAATTCAGTGACAGTTGACAGTATCAATTTGGCATTGGTGATGCGGTCGTGTTATTGTAGGCCTATAGGGTAAAAAATCCTTGCATTTTACGAGAATAAATTACATTTATTGATTGATGATAAATGTTGATTTTATTAATAGTTCATACAAGTTATTGTTTTTGTGTAATTGTATTTTCGGAACGTCTTAGAAGTTCGTCTGCTTTTAGAAATTGAATCATTTTAAAATGTTATTCCGATTTTCACATGCCGTGTGTGGTTTTGATAATTTTGCATTCAATGGTAAATAACCAACAGCTGTTTCCACTCCACAAACCTTCCTCCCCTTTAAGTGTTAGTCGCCAACACTAGAACTTGGACTCGTCCAAACCACTAATATAATATGTGAATAACTCAAAATAACTTAAGCTTGACATTAATTATATAACTGTACGGCTACTTAGGCACCTCTCCGACCAAAACTTATTGCATTTTTGGATTCAGCGTTAAAAATACTGTAAGTCGACAAAAAAAAATTAGGTACCGGTACTCCGGTAGGCCTACATCAAATCCCAGTGTAAATACGGTCAATAATTACCGATTTATGAAGTGGTTAGGTCTAAGTTTAAGCTATGTGTACTTAGCCTTTAAACAAATTGTCATCTTTCTGGCAGGCCCTAACTTCGGGGTAGACTGATGATGTTCCACTTTCCATCAGCTAAAAACTCTTAACATTGATTGGCCTGCAGTTGACCATTAACTTATAACATAGGTACCTATTGATTCTTGTAGGCATACGAGTAAGTTAAGTTAAACTTACAAATTGAGTAATATCCTTTAAGTTATTTAAGAGGGCACATTTCTTACCTACCGTACTGTACTGTAGACCTGCTCACTTCATAGCATTAGAATAATTAAGCTTACGTTAGTTATTTTAGACCAAATCTTAATTGATCCAACTTATTGCCTGCTATAAAGTATAACTTAACTTATATAGGCCATTCTTCAGAAAAGGACAGATTACGGTCACCAAGGAATAATAAATAAAAATTAATATAATAAATACATAATTTGTTGTTAAATATGTAGGTAAACTTTTTTTTATACTTAATGTAAAGAAGATAACATCTAGGCTAAATGAAATTTCATGAACATTTTATGTCCACAGAAGGTGACATATCACTTCTGTGGACAGTCACCCCCTCTAGGTTTAGCTTAAGATTAGCTGATTTTACTAACAAATTTGAAATAAAAATTATTAAACCCAATTGCTGTTGGCTATCTAGACATTGAATATTAATAATTAGTTGTTTATTTTACTTTTTCCATTCTATTAAAGGTAAAAAAATACAAAGAAACTCGGGTACCAAAGCCTGCATCACTCCTGTGGACAGGCATATGTAGTTCCAGAAAAATCCATCAGGCAGCACTGGCCAACTTTCACTATTTATTTTACAAAGAAGAAGTAACCATCTTGAACATAGAATCAGTTTGGTTGTGTTCTGTTCAGTTATTAGTAGTTTATATCATGTGAAACTAGAGTTTTAATTGTTCGTCAAGCTAACATAGTCACTTCTGTTACCACATTTTAAAGGTAATTATGCATGTCAATAAAACCTAATACACTAATTTACAGTAGTTTATGTGTTTCCCTACAAAAATAAGAGCAAACATTGTTTTAACCTATTTGCTTGACTCTATGTTAGGCATAAAATGCTAAATCATCACTTCTGTGGACACTAGCAGTTACCCGGCGCGCGTTGCTGCGCTTAACAACTATTATTTTAAATGACTATTAAACCTAATACACTAATTTACAGTAGTTTATGTGATTCTCTAGAGCAAACATTGTTCCTAACCTATTTGCTAGACTCTATAGGCATAAAATTCTAAATCATCACTTATATGGACACCTAGCAGTTACCCGGCACGCGTTGCTGCGCTTAACAACTAATATTTTAAATGGCAATTAAACCTAATACTAGTTTACAGTAGGCTAGTTTATGTGTTTCTCTACAAAAATAGGAGCAAACATTGTTCCTAACCTATTTGCTAAAATTTATGTTTGTTTTTTAACGTTATTTGTAAAATTTGCAGTTGCGATAGTCACTTCTGTGGACTTATTGTCACTTCCGTGTACATGCTAGTTTTTAAATACTAAAAATCTGGGAAAGTGATTGTTATTTAGTGTGACCATTGCAATGGGTAAATATTAAAAAGGGTCATACATTAAAATATCTAAAAAAAAATTAAAAACATAAAAAATAAAAATATAAAATTGAAATCTGTCCTTTTCTGAAGAATGGCCCATATAAGTTTATAATATTACACAACAATCCTTTTACCAATGCTCATGTTTGTTTCCGATCATAGGTAGGGCTGGCAGACAGATCATTGATGCCTGGGGATGTGGTCAGGCGTATGATCAAGGGAAGAGACACCCAGCGCGGCTACTGTAGAGACATCAAGGTGAATGCTTGCGTCCAGGTGATGGGGAGCAGACATGTCATCACTAATGTCAGCAGTGAAAAACTCGTACCATTAGAGGTAAGATATTTATATATAGGCCTATCTCATGCGTTCTGTTTAAGTTGAAATGTGTCTCAAGCCTTTAACTTAAGTTATTTTAGTCTAAGCCTGAAATTGAAATTAAAATGTCAGAAAAGAGTGATTATTTATGTATCCTAGGCCTGGGCCTAGCTATCTATGACATTGCGTGCCTAGTTTGTTTCGATACCAGTCAAATGTTATAATCCATAAAATAAAGCTAATAATAAGGCTAAGTAGGCCTATATAGTCTATAGTTGTATTACTACAGTAGGCCTGATTGGCTTGAAATGTGATCAAAACAAGATAAATCGCCATTAAATACTCAGCTGACTACTATAATGGATTAGTCAACTTATTTTTTTTAGCCTAGGCCTAAGTTATTACCATTGACTGGTTTAAAGTAGGTAAGATCTTCATCCAACTTAACTAAATGTATCTATAGGCCTACATTAAACCTAAGTTTTAATGAAATGTGAAATTCAGATAAATCCTATCTCCCATTGACTGTAGGCTTACAATTTTTCTATTTTTGAAACTTAAGTGCATGCCTCTAAGATTGTGCACAGTGTACACTCTCATGAACTCTCGCTTGACAACAGCAACAATAATACAAAAACGCTGACTGAGTTTAACTTCATAATTTTAAATAGGAAGAAGAGACAATAATTAATAATTGATACTTCATGAATTTTGAAATTGATACTAACTTAGTCTATGAACTGGATCGGAACTTATGATGTGGGATTAGCAGTCTCTTTTTTCTCATCATTTATCATATGGGCTCCTAGATTGATAAATTCTAAAATAGAATACTCTTAACATTTATAATTTAACACTCTAACTTATTTCTTTTTTCAAACAATCTCTTCTTGTGCAGGAGTTTGCTGTTGACATTGCCGTATGTCTCGACTCCTGGGTGGGAGGAATTAAGGCTGTCAACTCTAGACTGACTCTGCAATGTTCTGATGGGTCTCGCTGCGTTGTCAAAGACCCTGATACTGTTGCCGGCTTTGAAGTGTTTGACGAGAAGCGAGACAACGTTAGTACAATTCCCAAGATCTTTCTTAAAGTAATTATACTTTGTTGTATTCAGATTTTTCTCTTCACTCTTGTAGATAAGGAACTTAGACTTGAATGTTAATTAGATTTCTAACTTAAGTAGTTAAATGCTTTTTGTTTTGATTGATTTACAATTCACATAGCCTACATGTTTTGTGAGTAAGTTATCTCAGCTTCAGTATTGAATATAGTTAAAAGAGAAGTGTGTAGTTAAGTTAATAGTAGGCCTAGTATTTTTTGGTTCTAAGGTGGTGATCATATATAGGTTTCAAGACATGTATACTGTAGATACTGTATACTGTAGGTACAAATCTTCAATTGCTTACTCATCACATAAGTATATACAAAATTTATAGGCTACTTTTGTTTTATATTAGCCTAACAATATTTTCCAACACTGAAATAATCAACAATCACTGTAAACTATTATTGCAATAAAAGTTTAGTGCACTATTTCGTAGATAGTTGCATCACATTTAAATCTTAGATAAATTATTGGCTACATAGTTAGTTCATGTTTGGATGGTGGTGGTTGGTTAAGTTACCGGTACTATAATATCAAACATTCAATGAGAAATAAATTTGCGGTCTTCCAGCCTAGACCGTGTCAAATTCGACAAAACAATTGACTTAAGCATTTGCTACATCGACTGTGCGGTAGTCAAATCACCCAAGATGTCGCTCTGCAACAAAGCCGCCTACGCCTACACTGTTCATTTACAAGCCAGTTCTAAAGTTTCTTTATCGGCTTTTTCCTGATCTTTTTATGTTCATTGGAAGGGAATTCTGAATTTTGCATCGAATTTACAATGGTTTCTTACTGAATTTTGTGTTGTGGTATATGGTAAGGCTGAAATATCTAGCCCTGGGAAGATTTAGCTGGCTTGTATACATTGCTAGTTCATGAATGCAAAGTGCTGGTAGGCTACTGTTAAAATCTTGAGACATTTAAAAGCTTCTCTAGAGGTCAAGGCCAGAAGTACCCTGATAGCCTTCTTCTGAGCCACCAGGATTTTATTTATGTTGTCAGAGGTGCCCTCCCAACAAATCCCCCCATAGCCTACCTTAAATGAGTGATTCCACTATCACATAGTGTGCTGCCTTAGCTGATATCCTCCAGCCACACAATCCTCTTGACTGTGTCTCTTCCGAATGATCGCTTCCTGGTTAGTTCATAAATGTGATTGTTCTGTGGCAATGTTGATGATGTCTACAGGACTGTGAGTTCCCGCACAGAGGAGACTACTACCCTGGCCAGACACTGTGGGGTCCGCTACATGGGCTGGAGCAGGCCACCTGGCTGAACTGTACTAAGGAACTCAAGGCTGTACGCTCTAACGTTACCAAGTCTTGCAAAACTGTCAAGGTAAGCACTGCTTTGGAGTTTTATTACCTTAAAATCAAATCAAACTTAATATTAGGCTATCACTAAACGTACGGTATTTATTAGTGATGGGTCGGTTGCTGATTTTATTGGTTCCTCTTGGATAATTAGATTTGACATGAGATTTTAAGTGAGACATCGTTCTTGTTCAGTCAAGAAGTTAATCGTGATTTAGCCTCCGGATAACCAATATTTCAATAAAGTGGTTTAAATACCTGCATAGAAGTTATCCAAAATGTTGCTCACGGCAACCAGTTTCAATCCACAATAGGGATCTTCATCAGGCCGATTAGGCACATTAGAAGAATTTGAAATATACAAAGCTGTAAAATCGGATCATCAGAACATCCTGAATGACAAGCTGTCATTTTCATCTAATTATATTTATGACACTGCAATCAAGGTATTGAAGGGTGTGGATGGAGGGGGTAGACCTCAATGAAACAGCTGATAAGGATTGGACGACTGGATTCCACTGACCACCGGCAGTCTAGACTATACCTTCACCGGGGATGAGTCGTCGCAATAATTTTGGCCGTGTCTTCAATGTTAAATGTCCGTGTTTCGTGTTTGTGACTATATGTGCATGTTTTTTACACCTTTTGACGACCTTCGCAAGAAGAGAAAAAATGTTTTGACATCCTGATCGGCCTGATGAAGATCCCTATGAAACCGGGTGCCGTGAGCAACATTTTGGATAACTTCTATGCAGGTATTTAAACCACTTTATCAAGAAGTTAACTGTTTGGTTTACTGTTACTTTGCTTTCTAGGGTTTCTTCACGAACACATTCTAGCACATTACTTGTAGTTGCTTCATCAATGGGTTTCTCAGATGTTTTGAAAATTTCACTCGAATGCTTTCATAAAATATACCATCTTAAACAGAATTTAAAATCCATCGCGGTTGGGTGATTTTTAGAAATGCCAATTCCTCGGATGTAAGAGAATAAATTCTCTAGTATGTCTTGATTAAGTTTTTGGGTCATAATATATTTAATGTAATGTTATTTAGACAAAACAAACAACACGTGACCATCCCCTCGCCCACACCCCCGCATTAGAGCCAAAGTTGCGACTTGCGACATAGTTAACAACCGCTGTGAAATAGGATCCTAGCAGTCGATTTAAACTGAAATGTCTCAGTTTTTTTTTATTTTTTATTATGGTATTACGAGAGTGAAACAATTTTATATTTTAATCACTGAATGCCTGCTGATTATAAATACAATGTTTAATCACCAACTTGTTTTAAACAGAGTAGGTGCATATTTTATATACTATGTTATAAATTTCTTTGAGTTAAAGAGAATTTACATGATATGCAAACTTTGGCTTTAATTAATCAATGACAATTTGCAACACTATAAATGTTATTTGACAAAAAAAGTTAAATTTGAATCTTTGTCTAAAACTTTCCTGCTGGTCAGATGCTTCTAACCAAAGTACCTGATTTGGTAGCCGGCTAACTTTTTCATATTTAGTTTTAAGAAAGGCCCGAAAAGGCCAAGTATTTAGAGTGATTTCACGGTTAAGTTTCTACAATTACTAACTATTTTTTTCACAACAAGCATCTTCCTTATTATAATTGATGTCCATTACAAGTTTATAATTTTTTCCCAATTCTAATTGTTCAAAATGTTGATGTTAATCAAGCAGTGTCACACTGAGTTATATATGCGCGTGAGGCAGTTTGCCCCTAAGGTGACGTCACGTCGTCATGCCCAGAGTGGTCTCAAACTCGTCCGGCTGAATAGGGCACCTGTCTTACTTCCACCATGGCATATTTCTGATCAGTTTCAAAATTAATTAAATGTTTGTCATAAGATGGTTACAATTATTAGGTACAGCTTTTTCTGAAAATAAAGGAAATTCAATATGAAAATATAATTCATCTATCTATCTATTCTATATATTAATAAGCAAGCATGTTTCTTTAAAACCTTTTTTCTCAGCTTGTGCCCCAAAGCAGAACAACGAGCGACGCTGCGACATTGTCGCGGACACGAAACGCCGAGAAACGCGGACCTGCGGACACATTTACGGAGTCATAACGACGATCGCGCCGTGGCCGCGATTATTGGACCGACGATCGCACCGTGACCGCGAGTCATAACGACGATCGGGCTGTGACCGCGGAGTCATACCGACAGTCACGCCGTGACCGCGGAGTCATAACGACGATCGTGCCGTGACCGCGAAGTCCTACCGACGATCACGCTGTGACCACGAGTCATACCGACGATCACGCCGTGACCGCGAGTCATACCGACGATCGCGCCGTGACCGCGGAGTCCTACCGACGATCGCGCCGTTACCGCGGAGTCATACTGACGATCATGCCATGATGGCGGAGTCATGCTGACGATCGAGCCGTGACCGCGAGTCATACCGACGATCGCGCCGTGACCGCGAGTCATGACGACGATCGCACCGTGACCGTGGAGTCATACCGACGATAACCCCGTGACCGCGGAGTCATACCGACGATAACCCCGTGACCGCGGAGTCCTACCGACGATCGCGCCGTGACCGCAGAGTCCTACCGACGATCGTGCCGTGACCGCGGAGTCATACTGACGATCATGCCGTGATGGCGGAGTCATGCTGACGATCGAGCCGTGACCGCGAGTCATACCGACGATCGTGCCGTGACCGTGGAGTCATACCGACGATAACCCCGTGACCGCGGAGTCATACCGACGATCGCGCCGTGACTGCGAGTCATGACGACGATCGCGCCGTGACCGTGAGTTCTACAGACGATCACCCCGTGACCCGCGAGTCACAAGTTTCTATAGGTACCTGTAAATTGTTACCCATTTTTTGGTTTTTATAGATCAGTGCCACAAATGGTAAAAATTGATTTCTCATGTCTTTTTTGGTAACTGCAATACAGTACTTTTTTTATGCACAGAAAAAAATCCTGTCCCATCCCGTCCCGAAAATCGGGAAGGAAATAAAAATCCCGTCCCGTCCCGTCCTGAACTAAAATTTCAATCCCGTCCATCCCTAGTGTGTTTATATAAAGAAACTATAGTACATTTAAAGTTTTACTTCTGAAGACCTTGTTAACACTTGTTAAGGTATGTGTATATATATATACGTATTTAAAAAAAAAGTAAATTTAAATAACCTGATTATGCCTACCCCTTAATAGTTTTTTAGTTTTTTGTTTTAAAAGTAGGCTATACAAGTTATTGAAATTTACTTATTTTATTTAACTATATTACTAGTAGCCCTAAAGAGTAAATATATATATATATATATTAGGGATGGACGAGATTGGATTTTTAGTTTGAGACGAGACGAGACGAGATTTTTTATTTCTCATAAAATTTCAAGACGAGATCGAGACGGGATTTCCCTTCTCATACGCAACGGGAAATGCACGTTCGGAATTTTTACCTGATTTTGTAACATTGTTAGATGAATGTCTAAATACAAAAATAATGATAATAGGCAAGAATATTTACAATCTTTTATTAAAAAACATCAGCATAACATTTTTTTATTAATCACGCCTAAATTATTAAAAATGCCTACGATTAGGAAACATAGTGATATCAGTTAGGATAGAGTTCAACTTATCCTAAAATAAAATAAATCATAAAATAAAATATTAATTTGTATAAAATAGTTACTTGTTTTGACTTTTTTTATAGTAATAAAACATTTCTCACACTGCTGACACTTAACAAAACTTCTCAAATGTTATTAAAATAAAATAATTAAAGTAATATTTACATTTGAAGAATTAATTAAATAAGAACGCCTTCAAAAAGGAAACGCAACTACAACACGCTCCTGTATTGCGGGTATTGCATTGACTTTCTGCAGGCGTTTATAATTTTTTTTTTTTTTTTTTTTTTTAAATTCTCGTCTTGATAAAAATCTCGGCCAAAAAGAAATCTCGTCTCGTGTAACGAGATTTAAAATTTCCCGAAAATTTCCCGAAATTTCGAGACTTGACCATCCCTAATATATATATATATATATATACAGTAGAGTCCCGTTAGTCCGAAATGGTTGGGACCGGGCCCATTTTGGATTACCGAATATTTCGGATTAAACGTTTTTTTGTTTTTTTTTATTTTGAAAAAAAAAATTTAATTTTTTTTATTTTTTGAAATTTTTTTTCGTCTTAGGACGCAGGCACGAGCCCGGGATTGTTTTTCACATTACTTAAGGCTAGACCTAGTGGCTGCAGCATTATCACTTACAGTAATAAAATCCATTTGTGATTTGGCGGACGAAAATGAAAAATGTTAAAGTAATAACAAAAATGGTGAAATATTTAATTAAATACTCTACAAAAAAGTCTATCTCACCCGGCCAATACGTTGTAGAATACGTTGACAAGGTACAGCTAACTGTGTTAAAAGTTTAATAAAAAAAACTTTAAAAAAATTCAAAAAATTTAAAGTTTCGAAAAATTAAAAAAAAAACTTTAACAAATTTAAAAAAAATTCGAAAAATTTCAAAAAAATTTTCTAAATTTAAAAAAGAAGAATATTTTGTAAAAAAAATTAAAAAATATATTTTTTTGGTTTCGGATTAGGCGGACTTTCGGATTACCGAAGTTCGGATTATCGGGACTCCACTGTATATATATACCAGTATATAAGTCATTATTTAGCTTTTTAGTTTTAGCGCTTGCGGACACATTTTGAGGTTTTCACAGGCCGTTGCAGACACGTAGGAACCATTCTGCTTTGGGGAGCTTGTGTGCATCGCAGGGAAAATCTATGCATAGGCCTATCGTTAGAAAGATATTTTCCTGTAGATGTGCAGAATCCCTTTAAAAATTAAAATAGGCTCAAATATAAGGACAAAAAGTGGATTTTAAATTTGGAAAAAATTAACATGAGCTTTATGGGTTGCCATGCTGGTGACAAAATAACAACGAAATATAGGCCTAAACAGAAAATAAAAACAAATGGAAGAAATTCTAATCACATGTTTTATTTACAGCGTAGGATTAAAATAGAGAAGCCTGTAACTTTACATTCCATCTCCATGTTAAAGTTGTCACCAGTTTTAAAATTAAATCAACTTTGTCAGCAACAAAAAATAAGGTGGAAAATAGAGTATAAGACAAGCATTCGGTGACTAGCTCACACAACTACATGTTTTTTAATAATAATAAAAAAAAAAAAAATGGTGACAGCTGGTCCATATATAGATGGGATGTATACTTAAGTATCTAATAGTCAATATGTGTACATTACATGTTTTTGGTTGAGTTTTCGACCACTGGACGACCACTAGTATATATAAATATGAAAAAATGTATCATACTATAAATATAATATGAAAATATAATTAAATTCCTGAAACGGTGATTTATAAGATTTCCTAAAATATGAGAACGTCATTATACTTAAAAACCTTTTCTGTTCTTGTAAGTTATTTGAAACGTAAAATAAAACTAACAATAGAACATATTTTAATCCAGTTCAAGCAAATCAAAACACATAAACAAAAACAAACAAATAACCCACCTGATAAACAATAAAATCAACATGATCTGTTTACAGACAGTACAGTACTTATAAAACTTAAACTGAATCTCATGACGATCCCAGAACTCAATCCCATAATTTGTAATTGGATAAATGGAAATATAGTAGGAAATATTAATCCTAGTTTTAAGGTCAAAATAATTACCTAAGGAGGTTAAGACCCATCAAAGTATCTACAGCCTATGTTATTAATTTATGTATGCATGCTGGTGTTTTCCCAAGATCATTAAAATATGTGAAAGTAGTACCTGTATTTAAAAAAGGGAAAAAGGACAGTTATGAGAACTATAGGCCTATTAGTATTGTTAGTATTGTATCTAAGGTCTTTGAGATTGTTCTCAACAAACAAATCGTAGCCTATTTTGAATCAAATAAGATATTTTCTTCTTGTCAGTTTGGATTTAGAGCCAAACATAGTACAATTGAGGCAGTGCTGTCACTTGTTCAGATTAGTTCTGAGGGTCTAGAAAAAAAACAAAGTGTTGGTTGTAGATTGTTTGACCTCACCAAAGCGTTCGACACTGTGTCCCATTCCATACTCCTTAGTAAACTTTCCTTCTATGGTGTCCAAAACCCTAGCCTATCTCTCATTGAATCCTATCTTGGAGATAGACGTCAGGCTGTAGTGGTTAATGGAATTATGTCTAGTTTTAAGTTAGTCGAGTACGGGGTGCCGCAGGGCTCTGTTCTGGGCCCGTCATTTTTTATTATTTATATTAACGACCTTCCCAATCAGGTTCATGATGGATTTGTACATCCTTATTTATTTGCAGATGATTTGGCCCTCTCTGTTATTGAAAAAAGTGCTGAATCCTTGAGAGGTAGACTAGATGACACCTCTAATACCATAAACGACTGGTGCTGTGCTAATAGTCTATGTCTCAATGATCAAAAGACTCTTGAAATTCTTTTTACTTCTAGCCGTCTCAATGCTGCTAAAGCAAACCCTGTTAAGTTTTTGGGAGTTCATCTTGAGCCTGGGTTGGGATGGGAAACTCACATTGACACTGTTGTTAACAGAATATGTAGAGGTATTTTTCTGCTTAGAGTTTTGAGTATGATTGTTTCCATTGATGCACTTGTAACTGTTTACCATGCTCACATATTTAGTCATTTATCCTATGGCACTATTCTCTGGGGTAACCACTCCTCCGTTGTTAAATTACTAATCCTGCAAAAGAGAGCTGTACGTATAATGTGTGGAACTAGGCCTAGAGCACACTGCAAGCCTTTGTTTGTTCAGTTAAAACTACTCACTCTTCCAGCTATTTATGTTTTGGACTGCTTAATTTATGTGAAAAAGAATGTCCACAATTTATTGTTATGTGAAAATCTACATAATTACTCTACTAGGCAAAAGAATCACATATTTATTAAGTACAATTATTATTCCAGGACCTTAAAAAGTTTTGAGGTAACTGCACTTAAGCTGTACAATGTTCTTCCTACTGCAATCAAAGACCTGCCACTAAACAAGTTTAAAGACAGGATTAAACACTTTTTGGTTAACAGCCCTATTTATAACACTTGTGAATTTTTTGATCTGGACTATTCATTATTGTAGACCATTGCTGACTGTGTAGCCATTTTATGTAAATGTACCTTGTAATTTATGCATGTATGTGATGCATGATGCAGACGTAATTTATTAATTTATTTATTTCTTGTATGCTACTTGACTTTTATTGATGTGTGCGTTTTTGCAACATTTTGTAATTATTTTTTTTTTTTTGTGACGAGACTGATAGCATGTAATTGTTGAATGGTCAATAAATTCTTGATTCTTGATTCTTGATTCTACAGCTCCCATATATACCTGATCTTTCTGAAAATTCCCTGATATTTCACGTACACCAGATGATATCATGTTCAAGGGCATTTTCAAGGAGTCTACACACTGTTATTTGCAAAGTGGTCCATAAATAAGGCAATATTCATACCAATTCAAAAAATATTATAAAAATATATGAAATGTTGATGATTCCCTGTCACTTATACAACTGTAGTTTTCTACAAAATATTTGTATCTCCTGAATCATAATATTTGGATTTTTGGCTCATACTTGGTTTACTTCAGTTGGATTTTTCCAATAGATATAAGCGTGTGCAATATTAATCGGCCAGCAATTAGCCACAAGGGTTTTTATCTTTGTGGTCAGTAACTGAGCCTACAAGTGCTTAGCTTGAGTCTTAAACTTACGAGTGCTGCTTTGGGTACAAATAAAGGTCGATTCACACATATCAGTCCAGTCATATTCCTCAGTAAACTGTTTGTCAGTTGGGTTCAGTCAGTCTTCTATCACTATATTTAAAGTACGGTAATGTTATAGTCAATAGTTTTTAAATTAAAACGGAATATTCTATCAAATTTTCATCGTTCATCTTGTTGATTATTACAAACAGTAGCCTACTTAAAATATCAACACAATAATTTAAATACAAAAAATAAATTTTGTCTAACCTCAAACACGTCCATGAGGCGTTTGAACAATTAAACAATATTGATGAGATGAAATTTTAAATTGACTGACGGACGCTGGCAGAATAACTGACAGACGCCGGCAGAGTAACTGACGGACGCCGGAAGAGTAACTGACGGACCTGCGTCGGATGAGTGTAAATAGCGCAATAAAATCCATTAAGGAACATTTTTGTTGGCTGTTACGTGACTGATGTAACTAACCTGTGACGTAACTGACATGTGTGAATCGACCTTAAGACAGTTTCTCTCATTTAGCAACAATTAAAAGTCTGGACATTTTGAATTTGTAATATGGAAAACTTGTAACCGTCTGTGAGTTTTACTCTCATGGGATGCTGGACACTGATAGTATTCTGCTATATAGAAATCAACTGTTTGCAGGTGATGGTAGAAGGTGTGGAGACTGAGTCAGTGGCCGTACACTGGCAGTGTCGAGCGTACTCGAGGGAAGGGGCTGGCAGCGAGAAAGAGCAGCCCAAGAGTACGATTGAGGGCGACGATTTGAAAAGGTACCTGCTGATCATGAGGAGTAACAATGTGTTAACGATGGACGCGGGTCTAAAATCTAAAGTAAACCAAACTTTTGGTTTCAACTTTGATTTTGTTTTATAGGTGTATAGCAACCGGGGGAACCGGGAAAACCCCTTGAATTTAAAGAGGCCTGGAAAAAACTGGGAAAAAGCCAGGATTTTTGGAGCCATTCCAAGATTTTTATTTTAGCCCCGTTAGAAGATTGCAATCGTAAAACGCGCATTTGCCACGATCTCGGAAGACTATGATGACGTTTCTGTGACCGCGGGAGACGAGGATGACATCTACACGGCCGCAGAAGATTTTCATGATTTTTCCGCAATCGTGGAAGACGACGATCATGTTTCCGTGACCGCGAAAGACAATGATGATGTCTACACGGGAAATTTTAGTGATTTTGCCGCAATTCCTGACGTCGGTAGTGTTTCCATGACCGCGGGAGACGACTGATTATGTTGTTTCCGTGACCACGAGAGACGACAATGATTATGTCGACAGGGCTGTGGAAGATGTTCATGATTTTGTCGTGATCGCGGACGACGACAATGGCGTTTGCGTGACCGCGGGAATCATTATGATATCTTCGCGGCCGCAGATTTTAGTGATTTTGACACAATCACGTAAGAGGACGATCACATTTGTGTGACCGCGAAAGACGATGATGACTACATGGCCGCGGAAGATGTTCATGATTTTGCCGTGATGGCAGACGACGACGATCGCGTTTCTGTGACTGCGGGAAGCAACGATGATGTAGCTACACTGGCACGGGAAATATTTATGATGTTCATGATTTTGCCGCGATCGCAGATTACGACAACAACGTTTCCGTGACCGCGGGAGACGACGATTAAGTCTACACGGTCACAGATGATTTATGTGATTTTGCTGCAATTGCGGACAACGATGAAGACTTTTCTGTGACCGCGAAAGACGACAATAATAATGTCTACACGGCCGCGGAAGATTTTCGTGATTGCAGATGACAATGATGACGTTTCCGTGACCGCAGGAGACGACGATAATGTCTACATACCGCGGGAGATGTCTAGGATTTTTCCACAAATATGGAAGACTGTGATGACGTTTATGTCACCATTGGAGGTGACCACATGACTGCAGGAGATATTCAGGATTTTGCCGCCAATGATAATGATTTCATGAACAATGGAGATAATATTATGAATTTTGCTGCTATCGAGAGAGACGATGTTTTCGTGGCCTTAAGGAATGATGATAATGAAAATGATTACTTAAATGAGGATTATTATTTTTTCAAAACAGCTCAGTCAACTTTGGAATTATTAGAAAAATCTACAAATGTGATGTATACCTAAGCTTGAAGTCTTATTGGAAGTGGAACTTAACATGTATGTGGGAATTAACCCTTTCACCTCTCCTGTCGGCTGTGAGCCGACATTGGCTGTTTTGCAACCCTTTCACATTACAGCTAATTTTTTTTAATTTTATTTTTTATTTGTTATCATTAGTAGGCTATAATTTGAAGTTAAAATACAGGTAGGTTTAATGATCTGCATAATAAATTAAACCTAGGGCATGGTGACGTAGCCCTAAAATGACAGGCGAAAGGGTTAATAAAATTAAACATTCAAACATAGGAAACATTCACGCGGGAACCTGGAAAAATTAAAAAACCAGGACAAAACCTGGAATTTAAATAAAAAAAAAATAGTATACACCCTGTTTTAGCTGGTCACATGGTAGTGTTTAACCCTGGATGGGCATGGCACGTACATTTTACGTTGGGGGAGTTATCTTATCTCATCTTATGCTACACACTCCTTCCAGCAGTGCTCTTAGCAGTCATTTGCCATGTGACGGCTGCCATGGTTGGGTCTTAGTGTGTTTATTTATGTCCTGGGTAGTTGGTTTCTTGGAACGGATACGTCAAACTTACTTGTCAATACCATTTGTGTATAGTAAAATAGCTGGCAGTATGACAAATTTACATATTGATAACCATAGCGTCACACTGTATGAGGATAGGCCTACCTTACTGTATGACAATTCCTATCAAACTTATCAGTACGTCAAATTTACGTATTGAAACCCCCGTCATAATATATGACTTAGCAGCAAAACCCGGCTTTGCCCGGGTTAAATTATACAATGTACCATAAGTGGTTATAGAATTAATTTTATGCTGTTTTCAAAGATGTACACATATCATCCATGGCACTATTAAATCCTAAAATATGTTAAATATTCTTTGTAGCACACGTTTCCTTAAATCGCAACTAAAATATTAACAGCAATTAAATTATCCAGCTGATCATAATGTAAACAAATGTTTTCTTCATAAGGATAACATGGGAACTTTAAAGCCACTGGGGTATAAAAGCCCAAGTAACTTCAGAAATGTAAGGTCAGTTTGCAAATCTACACAGCTAGATGAACGTTTTGGTATAAAATATGTGGAGTTAAATCTTAAAACAAAAAAGCCTTATGGTTCACAAAGTTCTATGTAGCGTATTACCTTTCTTGGGTTTTAAAACGCCCTCAATCTGAGAGGAGCAATTATTCCTACTTTTGGACCTTTAGAATTTTGTAGCTACTGAATCACATTTTTGAAATTCACTAGCTTCCGAGGGTCCATAGTGCAAAAAACAGTCTCTTTCAAAAAATAACTTTACAATGTAAATATTTACTTCTGGTAATGACTTTCTTTTTGGACCTACTGAACTTTGAGCTAAAGAAACATCATTTGGACCTTCTGAAATAATATTTTTTGACCTAGTGAACTGAAGTATAAGCTTTGGACCTTCTGAAACTGGACTCAATGACATGCTCCTCGACTATGAACACACAAACATACAAACATCAAAGTTTTACATTTGTATTGTAACATTAGGAAGATAAGATAAACAAAGGTTGTTTGACATGACACTCTCAATCATAACACATTATATCTTGCAATAAAAATACTAAATACCAATCTTGCATGGTTTATTTTATGCCTATTAGTTGAAATATGTTAAATTCTGTAGATGCTTTCCTGGACAACAGGCATACACCCTCTCTTAATCAACCCCAAGGAGACCATGTCTAGGTCTAATAACCTAAAAGGCTTGTTACAACTGGAAACTATTTAGGCCTAATTATTTATTAGACAAATGAATACTCACAAATTAAAACATACCATAATTGAAATTAAGAGTTGGTAGGAGTCAATAATTTTGCATTGTTGTTGACCGTCAGATGCCAGGCTAAACAATGGTTGTCCTAGCACCGATCAGCAAAACATGCGTTCATGTTGAAGCATATTAATCATGACCCGTAAGCTTGATTAGCGAGCAGAAAATTTTATGTGCTTCTTATATATCTTTTCCGTGTGAATTGATTTTTGGATTTTTAAAACTTTTGTTTTAGATGTAAAAAAACACAGTTTAAGTCTATGTATTTATGTAGGTAGTCTGGCAAAATAATAACAATTAAAATTAAAAAGTAGATAGCAAATCGCATCAGTGGTTTCAGTAGCTTAAAAATAAGATATTTTGAAATTTTTCTCTTAATAAACAATGTCATAATATGCTTCAACCAAGATGAAGAAAATCCAAGATGGCCGGCGGTCCTGCCGACTCTTAAATTACTACATGTACACGTTTAAAAAGCTCAATATTTTACTTGATCTGGTTTAATTTTTCCATCAAGTTTATTCTGAAGACAAGATTCTTTTTGTTACTGCGTTAATAATGGGTCTCTAGAAAGGTCGTTTTGACCAACCTGTTTTAAAAATGGGCGTATAAACTGATCTTTTTTACCCGGGCAGAGACTTGATCCAAGCAATGTGTGACCTGAGGTCTGATATGAGCGAGGCTAATGTAGGTTAGGTTGTTAAATTCAAAGCCCGTCGGCTGTAGTTACATCCGGATGTGTTATTTCTTCATATTTTGAGTTATTTCTGGGTTATTTCTGTTAATACTTACTTGACACTTGAAAATCTGTACCGTGGTTGTCCATATTTGTTAAGGCCTAAAATTGAAAAATTCTTCCACGTAGTAGTATGGCCTAATGAGATTGAGTTCTTTCAATTTTTGTTTTCAAGGCTTTTTCATCATCAATACTTCTTTATTCTGTTGGAACCCTTGCTGAATACAATTGTACACGTGCATTTTGGTCCATTTTTTGCTAGGCAGGATGTTACTGATGATACCATGTTTGTTGTAGGCTGAGGTTGTTGAACGTGTTTGAACCGTGTACACTACAGGTTGGGGACCGTAACTTCTACACACTGACTGACCACGACACCGTCTCTACCAAGGAACAGTGGCGGAAGGTGCAAAAGGAGGTAACTACTTAATCCTGCCTGAGCTGTATGTGGACGGCCAAATGAAACTAAAAGAGGCAGCTAACCTCAACTTCAATTTTAAATTCAACTGCTAGAGTTTCTTCCTGGTATGGAGTTTATTTCAGAAACCTCTATAAAGTAGTACAGTACCTAAGGCATTTAAATCATTGGCGCCATTGTGATTGTCTCAGTCTCCTATTGGGCCTGTTTATGACCTGTGTGACCCTTCAACACACCTTTGTAACATAATAAGAATAAGAATGCTTTATTGCCGTTACACTGGTTTACATGCATGGCATAGTCGAGGAAATGTCTTAGAACTAAGGTGTTAACTTAGGTTTAATTTAACATCATTAATAAAGTCTATTGTTGAATTTATATACTTATTCTCTTGTAAATGTTAACATTTACAGTGGAAGCTTAAATATACTGAAAAGGTTAGGAGACATTAACCTAATTTATAATATTCTTCTAATACCTACTGTTATTGGTTGTGACGCAGGAGATGGTTGCCCGCTGTGCTACGAACGGTGTGGCTGCCCCGGCTCCTCTGCCCCCTGGCTCTCACACCAACACCAAACGGAGGAACAAACGAGCCGTCAACCTCCGTGACTCTAGACCTTCGGTCAAACAAACAAGTAAGATCACACTGTCACATTGTAACACTATAATATTTAAGAAAGCCTAGTGGATATACAGGGTGGCTGGTCATCAGTGTCACAAAATTTTTTTGGCGTAAGTACAAAGTAAATGCAGTGTAATGATGCATATAAAAGGTTCCAAGTCAAAAAATTGCTTCCCAAAGAATTATTTTATGTTTTTCAAAAATAACTATGTTTTCAAACTTAATACAGCTATTTCTCAATTACCTGTAAATGGATTTGAGTAGACAATGTCATTTTCGACCAATGTTTTTTTAAATTTTTTTCAAACATCTTAATTTTTATCTTTGAATCTATTAACAATGGAGTTTTTACAACTGATCCTCTGTCATTTTCTATTATTCTTATTCAAAATTTAATTTAGAACACGAAAATAACATTTTCTACTCAAATCCATTTACAGGTAATTGAGAAATAGCTGTATTAAGTTTGAAAACATAGTTATTTTTGAAAAACATAAAATAATTCTTTGGGAAGCTAATTTTTGGACTTGGAACCTTTTATATGCATCATTACACTGCATTTACTTAGTACTTACGCCAAAAAAAATTTGTAACACTGATGACTAGCCACCCTGTATAGTAATTTTTGAAAATTAGTAGAGATCAGCTAGCTTGAAAAAAGTAGAGTAGGGTTAATAGACAAATTAACACACACAAGTGTGTAAATTAAGTCGCAAAACATAGGCCTAACACTGGTATTTGACTCTAATCAAGGTCATCTTCAGAGTGTAGCCTAGAAGAGAAATCAAGGTTTGTTAAGGAGGTTTCTCAATAATCTACGCCGTTTTAAAATTACTTTCAATATCAAAGGCATTGCCTTTGTTTATTTGAAAAACCACCTTAAAAATTAAGTGTAAAACTACTACAATCTACCAGCCAGAATCAAAGAAATTCAAGACATCTTAAAATTTTAAAATGCTTAATCCCACGGCCACGTTACTGGAATTTGCAGTTTGAATTCGACGTGCTAACTACAACTGCAAGAAGAAGCATAATATGCTGTGTTAGGTACCATTCTATTCGGGAGAACACACTGATTCTTGTGGTATACGGTAGACTCCCTCTTATCAGGACTTCTCGGGACCGAGGCCAGTCTGGATAGCGGGTTTTCCGGTTAAACTGACGTCCCAAAAAACTCGTTAAAACGGACCGTTCACTGTGATATTCAACTTAAATTTAGGAGAGCATTTTATTTAGACACGTGATCACTGGTCTCAAATCTTTCCCACGAGATCAGTTGTTTCAGTACCGTCCATTTCCTTCCGATCTAGTCTGGTTAAACCAATGTTCTGATAAAAATTTTCTGGTAAAAGAGATGTCATTTCCGCCGAGTGTATTCCGGTTAAACCGATGTCCGGTTTAAAGGTGTCCCAGTAAGAAAGAGTCTACTGTATTTTGTTTTGAACTAGCTTGACATACATGCTACACACATCAACTAGTTTGATGTTATATGCAATTTAAGTCCTTAACACACCTGTATTGGGTTTGAAAATAAGTTTTTAGACATTTACACATATTCTGTTCGTTATAGAAGTAGTTTACAAGTAGCCTGGATGGTAACTGTATTTCAATACTGGCTGTAGAGTGAAAATGTCACCTGCTTATTGGTTAACCATGATAATGTTAATTTAAACCACATTATGTTGTAATGTTTCAGTAAAATCAACAGATGACACCAACGAACTTTACAATTCCTCAGAGAGCATCTCAAAAACAACACCAGTCGACTCAAACTCGGTCAAGTCTTGTTCGACTGACTCTTCAGGTGTCCAGGTACAACTACTCTTTCCTTTCAAACCTAGAAATTATTTTAATAAACATTGATTGAAGTAGCCTAAAACACCCTGTTTAGGTATGAGTGACCTCATAATTGATACATAATTTGCCTCCAGGATTGATTTAATGACATAAAATGAGGTTACTAACCTGTCGTCAATCAGTCCTATATTGTCGTTGATGACTAGTTTCGGGGCTAAAACCCCATTTTCAAATCTTCTCGTTCAGTCGTCATATGTCAAACATTTCTTCTTGCACAAGCCGTCGTCAAAGTTATTTCACACATAAACATAACACATACGAAAACGTTTATAATACAATACAAAGACATGTACATTCGCGTGTGGCCGGCCAAGGACAAAACCAGACTGCGGGGTTTGATAAGAGTGTAGGTTAGCCGATGCCTACTTGATGGTGTTGACCTTGGGGGAGGGGAATCAGCTGTTTATCTCGTCTATTGTTCTGTAGGTTTGTCACTCTGTCAAATAAAATGTTTGATCCAAAATTTAATTTCTCGTTCAAAACATCATTTGGGGAATTTTTGATTGCCTTGTAAATTTCAAAGGTTTCAAGAACGTTCATTTTGTTACCTTTATTACATTTGTGTAATATCTCTAAATTATCTATGCAACTGTTGACATTGTGATTTTTGTTCATTAGGTGTTCTGCAAACTTAGATTTTTGTGTTTGCAATTTAGGCTTGGGGAGATATTCTACATACCTTTTTCGAAATGAACGACCTGATTGACCTATATATACCTTGGGACAATCGTTGCAAGATAATCTGTACACGCCGGATGTTTCAAGGCTGTTACTATTATCAGGAGGGGATGTGTTCAATTGTTGTTCTAGTTTATTGGTAGTCTTACATGCCAGAATGATGTTTTGTTTTTTCAATTCATTTTTCAAGGTGAAATGTAGACTATTGCCAAACTCAATGGATACAAATTTAGAATTAGGTTCATCTGGAGACTTTTTGTTCTTCTGTTTATTAATTATCTTATCTATAATGCTGCTTGAGTAACCATTATTTACTGCTATGTATTTTAGAATTGTGTACTCAATGTTGTAATCTTCTTGGGTCATTGGCACCTTTAAGAGTCTATTCACAAAGCTATTATATGCGGCCATTTTATGGGATTGTGGATGATTTGAAGTGGCGTGAATAGTATGGTCGGTGGTTGTGGGTTTCCTGTAAATTCTGTATGTAAGTTTATTGTTGTTTTTGATTAATGATAGATCAAGGAAGTTGATAGAGTGTTAAAGTATTTAAGTAGGTAAAGTATTTAGCAAATTTAGCAAATTTCTGTATACAGAAAGAAAAATTTGCTAAATACTTATGAGAAAACATTTAGAACCATTGAACGCTTTGCACCCATCACAAATTGATCAAGTAATCAATAATATTGACAAAAAAATCAATAGAATCATCTTCCAGAAAAAGAAAACCCAGAAAAAGAAATTAGATAAATTAGTTGAACAACAAGCTAAGCCCATTGAACAGTTTTTAATAAATCATCAATTTTACCCAAGGGTTAAAAACTACACAGATGTCGTTTTTACTGACGACGAAATGAGCATTCTTAACAAAGGACTAAAACATAGTTTATCAGGTGGAAATTGGAATAAAAATTTGATATCTGAAATACTGAATGCTGAAATTGCAATTTGTTCCATTAATGACGAAAACTCCAGAAATTATGTGAGATATGTAATAGATAAGAAAGTAAAATCTATTTTAGATAGTAAGAAACATAAAAATAATTCTCGGAAAAATGAAATTAAACTCATAAAGGCAATAAAGGAAAAACTAGTAACTCATGATTGCATAATCACTAAGGCAGATAAAGGACAAACTGTTGTATTAATGAAATCATTGGAATATAATGAAAAGGTGTTACATTTTTTACGAGACAATAACATAAAAGAAATTCCTAATGATCCCACAGAGAAATTCCAGACTGCCTTAAAAAACGCAATGAATAAATCACATTTCATTTTAGATGGGAATAAGTGTAATCACCTAAAAATGATTAAGCCTAAAGCACCAGCACTAAAGGGGTTACCTAAAATTCATAAAGAACATATGCCGATGAGACCATTAGTAAATTTTACCACTGCACCATCATACAAAATATCAAAAACACTAGACAGGATACTTCGGAGCAACATAAAACTGAACAACAACCACAGTCTAAAAAATAGCCTAGAGTTGATTGATTTTACTAAAAATATGAAGATAGAAAATAGACACACCCTAGCCTCACTAGACACAGTAAACCTGTACACAAATATCCCAGTTCAGAGAACTCTTGAAATTACAAAACACAACCTGCTAACTTACTCTGAACTTGAAGCCGATGCCATAAATGAGTTGATTAGTTTACTGGAAATAGTTTTGGAACAAAATTAATTTTCCTTCAACGGAAAATTCTATCTACAGAGAGAAGGGTTAGCTATGGGCTCTCCACTGTCTAGTATTCTTTCCGAAATTTACCTCAACAGTTTTGAAAATGAACATATTTTCTCCGAAAATAACAAATTTGCTAATAAAATTAAGTTCTATAAAAGGTATGTTGACGACACTATTGTTGTTTTCAATGGAAATGTGAGACAATTAAACTTGTTCAATAATTATTTGAACAGTATATATAATAATCTACAGTTCACCTTGGAGACTGAACAGAAACACTCTATCAACTTCCTTGATCTATCATTAATCAAAAACAACAATAAACTTACATACAGAATTTACAGGAAACCCACAACCACCGACCATACTATTCACGCCACTTCAAATCATCCACAATCCCATAAAATGGCCGCATATAATAGCTTTGTGAATAGACTCTTAAAGGTGCCAATGACCCAAGAAGATTACAACATTGAGTACACAATTCTAAAATACATAGCAGTAAATAATGGTTACTCAAGCAGCATTATAGATAAGATAATTAATAAACAGAAGAACAAAAAGTCTCCAGATGAACCTAATTCTAAATTTGTATCCATTGAGTTTGGCAATAGTCTACATTTCACCTTGAAAAATGAATTGAAAAAACAAAACATCATTCTGGCATGTAAGACTACCAATAAACTAGAACAACAATTGAACACATCCCCTCCTGATAATAGTAACAGCCTTGAAACATCCGGCGTGTACAGATTATCATGCAACGATTGTCCCAAGGTATATATAGGTCAATCAGGTCGTTCATTTCGAAAAAGGTATGTAGAACATCTCCCCAAGCCTAAATTGCAAACACAAAAATCTAAGTTTGCAGAACACCTAATGAACAAAAATCACAATGTCAACAGTTGCATAGATAATTTAGAGATATTACACAAATGTAATAAAGGTAACAAAATGAACGTTCTTGAAACCTTTGAAATTTACAAGGCAATCAAAAAATTCCCCAAATGATGTTTTGAACGAGAAATTAAATTTTGGATCAAACATTTTATTTGACAGAGTGACAAACCTACAGAACAATAGACGAGATAAACAGCTGATTCCCCTCCCCCAAGGTCAACACCATCAAGTAGGCATCGGCTAACCTACACTCTTATCAAACCCCGCAGTCTGGTTTTGTCCTTGGCCGGCCACACGCGAATGTACATGTCTTTGTATTGTATTATAAACATTTTCGTATGTGTTATGTTTATGTGTGAAATAACTTTGACGACGGCTTGTGCAAGAAAAAATGTTTGACATATGACGACTGAACGAGAAGATTTGAAAATGGGGTTTTAGCCCCGAAACTAGTCATCAACGACAATATAGGACTGATTGACGACAGGTTAGTAACCTCATTTTATCTCATAATTGAGGTGATTGGACTTGGAAAAGGATTTTTGTGTGTTGACATGGACATTTGACACTTTTGAAGATTGGTACTAACTTGAAAAAAAATTGTATCGGAAAAACAGATTACAGTAGGCTTAGGTACTATGTAAGAAAGAATAAGAATCCATTTATTGTAATTTGTCAACAATACATTGCTATCAAAAACTTCTTGATAACTGCTGATCAAGTTAGGCTAAAAACTTCTACCAATGAAAAAATGTGGGTTTCTCTGCCTTGAATTTTTAATCTGGTGGTTTCAACCCGCTTCCCTAGGAAACTAGTCCTCCATTCCTGTCATTTATTTATGCTTCCGAATCATACCGGCGCATCAGCATAGCCTAACTGTTATCTCATCACTGTCACTGTCAAAACTTATCGTTTATAGGTTAAATTTAAATTTAATTTTATTAAACTGTCATAACCTAACCAAACTATCCAAACTTGCTGATAATGAAACAATCGAATAAAGGTAATTAATCGAAAAAAAAGAGTTCTGTTCATAAAATAAAATGATAAATTTCTCAGATTCAATTTTAAAATTTTTAGCTATAAAATTAAACTGTCATAACCTAACCAAACTAACCAAACTTGCTGATAATGAAAAAAGTCTAATATAAAAATAATTCTGTTCATAAAATAAAAAAATTATAAATGCCTTAAATTCTAACAATAGATGTACAGTTAAGAAGTATTATAAGCTAAATCTTTGACAAAAAATTAACAGCTCCAGTGGGATTCGAACCGGCTACTATCAGTTTATCAGCCAGGTACGCTATCCACTACACCACCGAAGCTCATGGCTCTATCCGTATCTTTGCAGTAATGGTGTTCCCTCAAGAGGAGAGACTGATGTCACACCATCTCATGATGGTGCTGGGTGTTGCGATCGGGAAGGTTTGATAGGAATTGTTATGAACATATGAAGCTAATTGTCACCATAGTAACATGTTATGTTTATTATTCAATGATATTTAATCTGTTCGTTCTGAATTAATAGTAGTATTGATATGTCATTTATATGTGGAAATCACAATCTTGTAAACTTATGTGACAAATAAACATTAAATTTAATTTCATTTAAATACAATACAACCCAGTTTACTTTTATTTCAACACTCTGTCTTTTTACTATTCTAATATTCTACTCAAGTCATCTCAGGAATTATTCTGATGTATTCATAAAAATGTTGTAAAAATCCAATGAGTTAAATAGAAATTTACGTTGATCCTCAAGTGTGCTGCGGCGGGGGTGATTTTTAAATAAACTTTATTAAAAATATCTGAAATAATGTCTTGTATAACATTTGATTGGTGATAGCCCAAATTGTCCTATCAGGTGAACAGCAACTCTTTGGACCAGCCTTTGCCAGAGTTTGCAGACCAAACATCACTGACTTTGCCTGAAAAGTCCTCGGAACCCATCATCAAGATATCTCCTGCCGATTCCAACACAGGTATGGGATTCTCCCTTTCCACTTAGGTTTTATAAACCGTAAATGCTTGTCACCATAAAATACAGCTAGTGACACGTAAGCTGGCACTTGGGCCTAGCGCGGGCAGTGTAGGGGAGGGTGGAGGTAAGGAAATGACCGATAAAATTAGAATAATTATGATTCCTCAAGAAAACATCTTGTGTTTTGCAATTTTCAAAATGTGAATTAATGATGCAAGCGAAATAAAAGTGTTAACGAACTTCAAATAATAAGTAACCACCTTAGCACAGTAATTTATGAAGGACATATGAATTTAGTTGAAACTTTATGGGTGTGCAAGAAAACCAGGTGGGAAAAATTTCCAAAAATACTAGGTCACATATACACCCTCTACATCGTCGTGACCTCCCCTTTGCCCACAAATTTATATGGTATTTGTGAAGTTTGATGATGAAGAATCCTTGGCACTCCTAAATCATTTGGTAGCCAAGTTACCAAATTAGTAGTTCTTGTGTATATTTATAAGTTGTTGGTTCTCTCCTACTGAACATATGTATTTTGCAGGAGAATGGGGCGACACTACTGACACTGATGATGACTACGGAACTGACACGGGCAGCAACAGTAGCACTGCTAGTAGTCGGACGTCCACACGCAGCGGGAAAAAGATACCAGCTAAGGTGTGTAAAATCCAGGAGTTTCTAATCCAAATTTCAAATAAGAGTCTCAAATCTTGAATTCAAGTAAAGGTGCTACTCTTTCAGTCCTGGGAACCATGACTGGTATAAAAAGTCCTCACCTATAACTAGGGGTCTCAATACCGGGATCCCGGTCAGTTTTTGATACCTAGAAATCCCGGGATTGGCGTCTTTTACCCCTAGTACTGTTGAGACTATGATGACGTCCACCCGACCTTTAGTGATGTTCATTATCTTATCTTATCTAACAGGGGCAGGTTGAGACCTTAAGCTGTTCATCCGAAATTGAATTATTGCGCACCCCAGACGATTGTTTTCTTGTTGACCTTACAAGTTAAGGCGCATAATGAAAGCCTGTAGCTTCCCAATTAGTTCATCCTCAGGAAGATATCTTCCTCTAGCCATATTCCCAAGAGTTATCAGTCTAGCGTCAGACACATTTAACATTGCTCTTATAGCGAGCAAATCCAAGATGGCCGTTAGCCTCCAAGGACTCCCTTGGAAGACAATTACAAAACCACAAAGAAACTTTATAATCTCATAGTGCCCTAGATATTTAAATTATAATCACTTTGTTACTAAACAAAAATTTGGAATTATAAAAAACTCTTAAGTAACTTTTTCAAATTAATCCAAGATGGCCACTAAGCCTCCAGGGCTCTTAGGCGAAGTCAGTAATAAGCTACATTTTAAAAGTGGCTTTTCAAAGGTTTTTTTTTATTGAGACAATTGAGCTTTTATTGAATTGGAATTTTTACCGAGTAGTTAAGACACTTATATTTTTCAGGTAAATTTGGCACTCCACTTTATGAAGAAGAAGAAGCTGCGACGGGCTCGTAAGAAACCTCCGCCGCTGGTGTTGGAGCCTGGAAACCGCTTGGTTGTGGAGACACTCAGTACTACAAGCAGTGTCACTGTTGTGTGGCAGGTAAGGTTATTGTAGATCATTGCAGCTACAGTACAGTTTGTACACTTTTCACTTTTCCACCTAGTAATTAGATATCTGCAGGTTATGTTTTGGGTAGCAAGGGATATGGTTCGGGCTAAGAATATTTTTTGTGCCAACTATGTTACAAATAGTTGGGTGCCACTGAGCCAATCTTTTATTTGTGTAAGTATTGCAGAAAGCATCTTCAAAGATGGGCAAGTGAAAGTTTACGATTTTGTTGTGGTCGTGTGGTTTTACCACATTTGTGGGAAACGATGATGATATCGACGTAACCACGGGAGATGTTTGAATTTGCCGTGACTGAGTAGATGATTGTAATTAATATAGCCCAATATTTTTGTTTACCAACCTTATAAAGCAACTCGCTTTTGGTATCGTACCCGAGGGCCAAATTTTTTATATGACCTAAATTGCAGTTAAAATATGTGTCTTACAGGCAGTAGGAATAGTTTTTTTTGCGACTAATAAAGAAATTGTGAAATTGATAAATATTGACACCCAAGGCATATTTTATAACAAAACTATAATTTGCAGGACGGTTCCGTAGAAAGCAACATCCCGTCTACAGAGTTGTACCCGATCCATCACCTGGATGATCAGGAGTTCTTCCCAGGAGACTTTGTGTACGAGGTGAGAGAGGAGAACTCGACCAGAGTGTACGGAGTGATCCAGCGGGTGGACCATGCTGGCAGGACAGCCAGGGTGCAGTGGTTCAAGACTTACACATCACCTGAGGACCCTCAGTGAGTGGAACTGCTAAAGCTTCGCTATGGCATCACTCACATTGACAAAGTAGTTATCCACTTCAGTACAAGTGTTGCTGAGGGTGGATTTTCATATTTTGTACAGCATGCAACAATTCCATAGATTAGGCGGTTTTAGTGTCGGTGCAGTCGGAAAGCTTAAATTATCAATTTCTGGTTCATTTTGCTCTAACATTCGGCAGCCAGCCGACTGTTTTAATTTAATTGTTTTAAAACTGTCTTGTTTGTTATTTTTTCCATTGTTTGTTTGGATAAAAAATTAATTTAAATTGTATTTTGGTGTTTATTTTTGTTGTAAATTGTTAATTTGTTCGTTTCAATGATTTATCAAGGTTTGTAGGATATGAATATTGCCAATAATATCAGTTGATGACTTGAATTCTAACACTGCAAAAGAAACTTTTTAGGTGAGTCCAAATACAAATGTAGCATCATAATTTGTCACTAGTATTCATGTAAAGTTAGGTATGACCTTTTTCCAGACCTTACAATATTGGTTTAACCCTTTGCAGTCGAATGGTGAGTATAGGTCGCCGCCCGCCATTTTGCCGAATGCTAAAAAATGGCGACCAACAAGGACCCAAAAAAAAAAAGAAATTACTCAAAAATCAAAAAAGTTAATTTTTTGGTCGAATGGCAAGTATAGGTCGCTGGGCGCCATTTTCCTGACTGCTTAAATGGCAATGTAAATTCACCGGAAAATGTGAAAAAAATTCGACCTCAAAGGGTTAAAGCGCCTAGAGTTTTTCAGTATGTCATTGGCTAGCACTAAAAGCTGTAGCACTAAAACGATCAATGTATTCCTTAGCTAAGTGCTTTTTCCTCTCAAATTGTTATACCAAACAGTCTGGCTGTTTCTTACAAGTAGCCTAAAATTAATTCTACGTTTCTCTCCAGACCTACAATGCTGCAACAGAATGAGGTGTCTGTGTATGATCTCAAAGACCATCCAGACTTCCAGTACAGACCAGGCACTGTTGTCATCAGGGTAGCCAACTTTGAGGGGGAGGACGCTAACTGTACTGCCGGCCAGGTGCTCGACAACTACCCTGAGGGAAAGGTGAACTCAACTGCTATTTGTATGAAATGCTATTCCTCATTAAATGATGTTTGTTATTTAAAAACAGAAAAGGTCAGAATTTGTTAAATAATAAATTAAAAGGTCAGAATTTTTTTAATATTAAATTTTATTATTTAAAAATTCTGATTTGTTCTGTTAATTCACTGACCACGTAATCTGTATCTAACAATACTCAATGGACGTTTTACCTAACTTTAAATAACTTAATTCAATTCTAAACAGGGCTTGTTCAAATTATAAATTTCAACCTGAAAAAAATCATAGTGCATAGTGTCTACTCTCCGGGAAATTCGGGAATTTTATCTTACCTTGAAATATCCTGGAAACTGGAACCTCCGGGAATCCAGAGCTCGGTCATCGGAAACGTCCTTTAACCGAAAGACCACTGCTGGTATTGCTGCGATCGCAGGAGACAATCATCGGTGTTGCCGGAACCTCAAAATATTCTCACAGGTGTTGCTACGATCGCGGGAAACGATTATTGGTGTGGTTATTGGAGATCGTGGGAGACTTTTATTGGTGTCGACTAAAAAGAATAATATTTAAATTCAAAACATCTTTATTTTCCTTAAATGTACATGGGAGATGATTATCGGTGTCGCCGTAACCGCAAGATATGGTCATGGGTATTGCCGCGATCGTGGGAGACGATAACTGACGTCGTTTGCCTACCAGTAATACTGTTTTAATAGGTATGTTGTGTATACGTTTAATATGTTGTAAATATTATTCCTTGGAAAAGTTTTGTTTCAAAGTTATAGTGCCTACCAGTTATTGAAAAAATAAATAATACAATTCCCAACTTACTTTTTCTGAAGTGCATTTTTAAAATACATGAGTTAAATGCATTATGTGACTAAAATGATAATTTAAAAAATCTTTAAAATGAAAAAAAAAACAGCGTAATAAAGCTTAAAAAGTTGGGTTCTGATAGTAGTTCTTAAAATTAAGGAATTTGTCTTGAATTCTCCTGGAAAACTCCTTGAATTTGGTAGTAAATTAATGTAAAAGGTCAGACAATAAAAAAAAAAATTAATTGTGTTATTGATTACTTGTCTTGAAAAGCAAGTTTTCAAGCTCTTCAGATCTTAATTATGAATATTAGGCTACCAGGCAATTTATAAATGAGCTTTGCTTGCTAGATATTTAAATATTTACATAATCTAGCTGAATTTTAGCTTTTCAAAGTTATAATTTAAGTCTTAGAATTGATAATAAATCAATATTAATAACAAATAATAAATTGTTATTTGCCAGACAATCATTTGCAGTGGTTTACAGTGTATTACTATGATGATTATGTATGATGTCTCAAAGTAAAATAAATCTTTGTGTTTAGTTTTTCAAAATGAATAGGCCTATAGAAAGAAGTGTTCAAATTTTGGTTTGCTAAGAACAAGGAAATGTTAACATAGTTCCTCAAACATTTTATGTCCCTATAAAAACTTACTTGGCTTCTGTAAAATATAGCTCTTAAAATATAGTTTTGTGTGAATCTGGGATAGTGTACCATATTTGGTTTGTAGATTTGGTTTTTTCTTCGAACAAAAATGATTTACAAATGATTAAATGACTGTATCATTTGGTGTTCGTAGGTTCGAGTATGGTGGGTGGACGGACACGTATCCATGTGCTGGCCTCAAGATTTGTATAAGGTAAGGATACTGCGTATTCTTCTTTTCTTTCTTAAATGTTGTAATCGAACATTGTCTTGTAATATTTAGTTTGAGTTCAGGATTCTGGCTCTAAAAATCTTATTGAGGATTTGTTGCATTATTGTCCAAGCTTGTCGGATTTCATTATGTGTTTGCAAAGGAAATATCATGTCAGAAAACTATTTTTGTTGTTGTGGAACAGTATTAAACTGTAAAACACATAATCAATTATCAATGTAGGCTATTACAACACTGGATATGAAGGATTCGCTGGCATATTGTGTTGTGGGTTCAAATCCATCTCAGTCAAGTCTGGTGTGCAACACATGAAGAGTTCACACGTGTAGTCAGAGATTGGTGGTAGAGGCATGCGTTTACACAAACGGTAGACATTCAAGTTGAACCTAATAGTATGGTTGAATCCTTTGTGAGTTGTATGTCAAATCAGGCATTAGGGTACTCTTTGCTTGTCCTTTTTGTGTTGGTCCAACAAAAATGTGTTTTAATTTAGACTTTTATGAAAGGTGGGAAAACACTTGATTTATTCAACAAATAATCCGGTGGAGTTCTAAGGGCTTAGCATTATTTTCAGATGGTTCTACACTTCAGTAAGCATGGTAGAATTTGATGAAATATACATGTTTTAGGTGAGAGAATACGACAGTGACGATGGAGAGTTATGGGATGACGTTAGTACTGAGGCATCATGGGAAACTGAGAGTGTGTCGTCTTGGCCAGCTGACGAGGGGTGAGTCATTGTTGTTTGATTCAGCAGTCAGAGGTTATGGCTTCTGTGTTCAGTTTGGTTTTTTTACTAGAAGCGGGTGATGAACATCTTGAAGCTCTTTGACAATGAAGTAGGGATGGACGGGTCCCGAAATTTCGGGAATTTTTCGGGAAAAAAATATTCCCGATTATCTGGACGGGATTACATTTGACTCGGGAATTTTTCGGGACGGGATTTGGTCCGATCGTCGGCGATTTTTCCGCTTCGCGAGTGCCGATAACGCCGTTATTGCGAGCGATAGGTCCGCGAACGCAGGAGACGAAGTCATTTCGACGATTATGCCGTGACCGCGGAGTCCTACCGACGACCGCGCCGTGACCGCGGAGTCCTACCGACGATAACCCCGTGACCGCGAAGTCATATCGACGATCGCGTCGTGACCGCGAGTCTTGACGACGATCGCGCCATGACCGTTGACTGTGAGTCATACAGACGATCACCCCGTGACCCGCGAGTCACAAGTTTCTATAGGTACCTGTAAATTGTTACCCATTTTTTGGTTTTTATAGATCAGTGCCACAAATGGTAAAAATTGATTTCGTATGTCTTTTTTGGTAACTGCAATACAGTACTTTCTTTTTATGCACAGAAAAAAATCCCGTCCCGTCCCGTCCCGAAAATCGGGAAGGAAATAAAAATACCGTCCCGTCCCGTCCCGAACTAAAAATTCAATCCCGTCCATCGCTACAATGAAGTTCTTTGATTGCAGTGTAATTGTCCTATATTTCTGTGTGTCATTAGATTTCTTTGTTCATCTTCCAAATAAATAAACAAAGATTAAATAGTTTTAATAGAGTATTCTCTAATAGTCTAGTATACAATAGGAAATATTCGTGAGGATAGCAGAATTACAGGAATGGAAGTTAGTCCGAAATGGTTGGGACCGGGCCCATTTCGGATTACCGAATATTTCGGATTAAAAGTTTTTTTGTTTTTTTTTTAATTTTATTTTTTTAAATTTTTTATTTTTTGAAATTTGTTTTTCGTCTTACTTCTTACTACTTTTTTTCGGACGCAGACTTGAGCCTGGGATTGTTTTTCACATTACTTAAGGCTAGACCTATTTTCTGCAGCATTATCACTTAATAAAATCAATTTGTGATTTGGCGGACGAAAATGTAAAATGTTACAGTAATAACAAAAATGGTGAAATATTTACTAAAATACTCTACAAAAAAAGTCTATCTCCCCCAGCCGCTACAGAATACTTTGACGAGGTACAGCTAACTGTGTCAAAAGTTTAATAAACAAATATTCAAAAAAATTTCAAAAAATTTCAAAAAATTAAAAATTTTTTTTATAAAAAATTATAAAAAAATATATTTTTTTGTTTCGGATTAAGCGGACCTTCGGATTACCGAAGTTCGGATTATCGGGACTCAACTGTACATGTAATGTTCTGTGTGTCCTACGGTTTTGTGTATCATGTGAAGTTTTGTGTTCTTGTGAAAGTCTGTACTCTTTCCCATTCAGGTTTTTTAAGTCTGATATCCACACAAAATATTATAAAAACATCTGCTTTTTTGCTTTATGCTACATCTCTAATGTATGCCATAGTGTTATAATTTACCTATGTGTTTGTCTTACCTATCATACCTTGATATAGCTCTAGTCGGTCCAAAATATTTTACATTTCATGTTTGTAATGTTTAAGAATACTAGCTGTAACTCTTTGTATTAGTGATGTTTGATATGTCCACGTGATTTTTTGATTAAATTTGCAGGGTGGCACTGGAAGAGATGAACGGAAGTATTAAACCAAAGTTGGCTGCCAACATCGAGAAGGCCCGAGTAGCCATGAGCAAGTTGGAGGAGATTTTCACTCAGAACCCGTCATTGCAGACGACGGACGTCATGCGCAAACTGCTGGAAGTTTACAAGGACTGCAGGTAATTCTTTTAACAGGATGAACCCTGCATCTGTCAATCGTGAATTGATAGGATATATAATGGTAATCTGGTTACATATACTAATGGGTAAAAAACAGCTCTTCGAGCACACTAATGACTTTTCAGGGCAAAGCTCTGTCCCCCAGGTATTCTTCATTGTATCATGTTCTAATACAAGCAATGTCTAATAAAGCTATGGACCACTTTTAGATTTATCGACCCCTTCTTGATGACATTTTGATTCCTTGGCAACAGTAGCGTAGCCAGGATTGTATCAAAGGGGCTGGGATTTCCACATAGCTGATCTGGAGGTGGGATTTGAGGGCCACAGCCGTATACCTAGAAAAAAGTCTTTTTTAGGACCATTTAAAACATAATTAATGGCCATAAAAATTTAAGTGTTAAGATTTTATCTAAAAATGTAAGTTCAGTAGTTGATTTGCTATGTATACCCTCTAGCACATTTGATTTTTTTATGTTTCTCATTTGCTCAGTTCCACTCGAGAACTAAACATAGTAAATAGCAGTGTGGTATGTTATGTATTGTCCGTTAAGGACCTCGATTAACCGGGCGGCGGATCAACTGTGGTCAATATAGATGACTCTAAAATTATGTTACATAACCTCATTATCCATGAAAATATCAAGAAAGTTTTATAAAGTAATTGTGTTATTCTAATGTTTTGAAATGCATTGTATATTGAACTATTTTTTACCATTATTTATATGCAGTAGGTTCCCACATTATTGTTTTTGAAATATCAGAGTTTATTTGACAAAAACAAAAAGGAATCATAACAAAGAAATAAGTAATCGGGCGATAGCTTCAAGGTCAAGCTATGCGTTTGTATTGACTGTCGTCTGCCACCATGGCATCTTGTTGAATGTATGGATGAAGAGAAACAAGAAAGAATATTATATCAAAAGAATGAATAAGCGATGTTTTTATGTCATTGTTCTACCTTTATCTTATTTTTAGTGTTGTTATTATCTTTAAGAAGGCTAGGCCTACTATAATTTTATACTTTTTAAATGAGTTTAAAAAGTATCTTAATGTTTTATTGACATTATTCTGTCCTAAAACATCACGTAGAAGTAGCATATGACTAGCAGTATAGCTACTAGACTTTCTATTATTCTGTTTTTTACATGATTTATTGCTGTACAGTGTTTGGAAATGTATTTTTTTGAGTAAAAGTTTGAGATAGCTATGATTTTAAACGTTACAGATGTAACTGAGGTTAATGATAACTTATTCTGATTGCGCAATACTACTGTATTTGTATTTTGATTATGTGAAAAGCAAATTAATCATCTCAATAATGCCGATTTCTACAATATTAGGAGTTTTTATAGGTTTTTAATCGATATGTTTATGTCATGTTGGATTAACCGTGGTTTTCAGAAGTTATCATACATAGGCCTAATGTACTTTTAAAAATTCAAGACCCAATATTTTCGTATTAGAGCTATTAACTTTCCAGATTTTACTGCTACTAATATTTACTTTACCGCGACCACAGATGCATAATGATCGTCTCCTGCAATGGCGGCAAAATCCTAAACATCTTTCGTGATCACGGCAAAATCCTTTTGTCAAGGGGAGGGGGTTATGACCCCTGAAACCCCCTCCCCTTGGCCACGCCACTGTATGGCAACACATTTTAATCTCTTGGTGACATATTAATACACTACTCGTCCTGTAGATATCTGGACAAGCTGATGGGGACGACATTCTTCCATGAGAGCCACTTCCAGGGACTGCTGGAGCGAGTGAGAGAGAGAGGAAGAGCCAACACGGCCCAGCGAGTGGGGGATCAGGTGCGACGATTGTTCTGTACCGGCTCACCTACCAGACGCAGTGAGTTAGCACTTGATATACCTTCCTTTTAATTACTGGGTTTTAATTGGTATGGAAATAAAATGTATGTTCAAAAGTATGCCTTAAATAAGAATGAAACGTCCTTTAAAGCTGCTGGTTGAAATACATTTGCAAAAAATTAAGCTATAGTGAAAATCCTGATAAAAATTAAGCTTGGAGTAAAATCTTGTCATTTCAGTCCGGTCGAGGCTTATGCTGGTGGCTAGTTCAAGGACTAGCCAACAGCTGATCTGACATTTTATGTTAGGCTTGTTTAGTCTGTCATCTGTCAACAAACACCAGTCTTGAGGTTATGTTATGTCGTTAAATATTCGTAAAATCGGTCGGTTTAACTTTACTTGATGAAGTGGAGTGTTATTATTGATAAATATGTCGGGTGAGTGTGTGTATATATACTTCACTGTGATGAAAACTAGGCCTACGTTCTTTGGCCCTTAGTCTAAACCTAAACTATGGCCAACACATAGGCCTAAGTGTATGCTATTGTGGATAAAAATCGGGTAAGATCTAGTGTTAATTTATTCACAGTATGTTTTTCCCTCTTTAAAATTTGGTACCTCACAAATACTACTGAAGAAAGAGCTAGTAGCTCCAAAAAATTGGATTTGGTTTTTTGTGTATATCTATTTCTGTCAGTAAGATTAAGATAACCCCGCTGTTAAACCACCAAAAGTCCTTAACTAACACATGACTCTGTTTAGGGCAGGAGGACTCTTGAGACCCATCAGATCTTGTGAGTCGTCCAACAGTGACTGTGGAGTGTTTTAAATTAACTATCAATAATCATCATTGAAATGGGGATGTGACCTATGCGCATATTTTAACCCAAATATGAGTGAAGAATCTAGTGAGATGGTCTGTGTAGCTTTGTTACTGACTAAGATCAGCTGTTTCATTAGCAAGGATAATTTATTTAATCATTCATCACTTATGTTCAACTATTAACACCAGACATTTTTAGGTGAAGGACAGGAGGACTCTGAGACCCACCAGATCTCCGAGTCGTCTAACAGCGACTCTGGAGTGTTCAATTCTCCGCCACCCCCCGTGACAGTGGCAGACGACACCCTGGCCGAGGATAGTGTCACGGAAGATGCCACTGTGTGCAACAGCCTCGTTTGTGTCAAACTGTGCTCTCTTCTGCTGGCTCAACTGGTGGAAGCCCATGCGGAGGTTATGAGAAGGTGAGTAATGAATTGCTCGGAAATATGTTGGTGTTTGACTGTATGTTGAACAGAAAAAAACATCTCAGAATTGCTACCACTATATTCCACAGCTTGTGTAGTTTTAATCAGCTTTGTTGTAATTTGGTGACAATTTTCAGGCTGAGTTTTTTAACAATGTTTCTGATTGATAAAGGATCGTGTTTTATTGTTAAATATGTTTAAGCATTGACTATGAAATTAGTGATTTAGATCAGCACAATCTGTTGGTGGCTCACATTAACTACGCTGATTTAAATGAAATTAAATTAAAAATTTAAATTGAAAACTGACGACAGGAATTTCTAGTTGTATTAATAGTCAGAGGTTTTAGTCAAAGTTGAATATGTTTAATTTTTTAGGTATCATACTACATAAGGACCCCTGAAATGTGGCCTCGTTTTTACCGGTATTTTATGATGTCTGTGTTCTTAATACTTTTATTTTAATTACTTAACAACTTTTAGTTTTCTACATACATTTTCTGTTGGTTGTACAAAAAAATGTATTATTCTGAATAATCCCAAAAGAGACTCGGACACTACTTTTGACCACATTTATTCATTACACACAATTATTGGGATAAATTATTATTTTTATAATAGGTTGGTTTATCCGGCAAAATCTTCATACGACCAGGGGCTTGGTACTGTGGTGGCTGCTGGCTGGGTTCTACAGTATGGTACAGTATATCTTATCTAACAGGGGCAGGCCGAGACCATAAAGCACTTCATCCAAAAATTGGAATTACAGCGCACCCCAGACCATTGATAGACCCTACAAATTCAGGCATCCAATGAAAGCCTATAGTCTTCCAATTAGTTCCTCCTCGGGAAGGTATTTACCTCTTACCACATTGCCAAGAGTTATCCTTCTAGTGTCAGATCAATCATAGAACAGGTGATCGGCTGTCTCCTCTGACCTACCCCAGTGCCTACAGATCGGTTCACCATCAAATAAGCCCATCCGTTGTAAATGTTTCCTGAATCGCCCATGGCCAGTTATCAGTTCCACCGTTAATGTAATTCTTCTCCTGTCTAGTCTCAAGAGGTCAAAGGCAACCCATTTGGAAGGTCTAAAAAGAGTAAGATTGATACCGATACGATATAGGTACTACACTTTCGGCAACACTGGCGAAAAATCTTCGTGCTTGGCTCCCATGGCTTCTGATTGGCAGTTAGCGGGTTTCACCGAGGGACCGAGTTAGCGACTTCCGTACGAGAACGGAATTCGTATAACCCGGTTCTAGGGCGGGTTAGCTGGTTCCGGAGTTAGCCTATTCCGAAAACGAACAAGTTAGCGAGTTACTCTCATCGACCAAATTTGAAGATAGGGCGTTTAACATGGGGTTAGCGAGTTCCAGAGTTAGCCAATTCCGCGGACCCCATTCCTCCCACCCAATTCAGACTCAGAATCAAGACGATCCACACGAGCCTTGAGTTGGATTCGTATGAGTTTAGTGCATTTAAGGTACCTTGACTATCAGTGTAGATGTTAATTGTTTTGTCTCTGATCTCTTTGTAAAGATTTTATCGAGCACAAACCAAGATAGCAGTGACCTCCGCTTGAAAAACTGGCGGGTACACTCCCATGTGAAGGCTGACGCCAATGCCTTCTCTTTTCCAAAGCACACCTGCTCCGGTACAGTATCGTATTTAGTGTGTTATGATTATTAATGACTGCACGATACACCACATTTATTACATCAAGATTAACCATCTGTCTGTAGGTTTGGCAGCAACACGGCTAGTGGAATGACTCTTAGTGACGCTGCAAACACTGTGTCCCCCGCAGGTAGTACAGGGGAGACAGTGCCCCCGTCTACCCCTCCACCGTGCCCCTCCGGCCCCCCACCTACTCTGGAATCTCCTGCTGTAGAATCCTCGACCAGCATGGAGCTGACCAAGGATGGCGATGGAGGTGAGTCAAATATTCTCTAGTCATTAGGGAATTACCCAGAAAATCGGCATACTCGTGCATAATGAGAATCGTGCAACTTTGCGAGCTTCACCTGACGAGAGATAGTGAGTTATTTAGATAACACTGGTTAAATCCTTAATAAGGTATTAATATTAAACAACAAAAAATGATTCTGAATTATAGGAATGATTATGATTATTGAAAAGGAATAGAGTAGCCTATAAGTATAATATAAATATTAATCACAGTTTTTTCATTTGAACCAGCAGGGGTTTAGAATGATTATTTTCAATTGCATTTGTTACAATTCTGACAACCTTTTCTGAATATTTTTATTTCAAGTTATTGTTCCATAAATCGAGATAATGGGAAATAACAAAATGACTGGACTGAACATAATGACTACTCGGACAAATTTAGGCAGATATAGGGTACGAAATATAACCATTCCATGTCTTGATCCTACAATTAAAACATAGTTCAACAGCTGAGCAAAACGTCAAATCAGCTGCTACAAACAGTAAGCAGAAAAAAGTGGTGGTGGAACTTCCCCTCAAACCGCTTAAAAATTATGAACAGACTATAAACTAAATTTAAGGCAACATAACATGTGCACCCTTGAAAATGTTAAATAAATATGTGTAATCTTTGTCTCGGCAGGTTTCTCAATACTGGACACAGCACCTAACAGTCACAAGTTCAAGCTCACAATGTTCCAACCGACGGATCCTAAGACGTTCTTCAAGACAGTTCGCAATGAGATCAAGCTGTTAAGGACGTCTTTGCCCAGCGGCATCTGGGTCAAGGGATTTGAAGACAGAATGGTAAGAAGAAATCTTCTGTCGTTAACTCTTGAGATTAGGCACTGACCCAGGATTGTTTTTTACATTACTTCAGGCTAGACCTTGGGGTTGCAGCATTATCTCTTTGATATAATCCATTTTCGATGTGGTAGGATTTGAACCTGGGACCTTAGGGTCCCGTGCTCTATTATCAGTTTGGCAATTTCCTTGGTAATTTGGCACCTTTGTTTGTAATTTAATTTAAATTAATAACCAATAAATTATGCAGAAAATTCGGCAATACTTATATTATTTTACAAACAATCTTAAATCAAAATGTTATATCTCTCACAACTTTGAACAGGTTTATAAAATAATTTTTTAATAATCTGTTTCTTTTGGTGAGATTAAACATGTGGTAACAGCCAATTATTGCATTTTTGTATTTAAAAAATCAACTTGATCAAGTATCAAATGGTAGTAATAGTAAACTATACACACTGCTACAGGACCTGTACTCTGTGATGATCCGAGGACCAGAGAAGACACCTTACGAGGACGGATTGTTCTTCTTTGACTTCCAGTTATCAGCTGATTACCCCAAGGCGCCTCCACTATGCCACTATGTGTCATACTGCAGCGACCGACTCAATCCTAACCTTTACGAGGACGGCAAGGTGAGGCCTGATTGGTTTAACAACTCATGATAATCATAATCATTGTATATTGTTATTCAACATTTAATCATGCAATAGACATAGTCAGATACTGTCGATTTACAGACAGTAGGATGTAGTGACTGTAGACACAGTAATAGATTAGATAGGTTAGGTGGAATAGGAAAATATTACTGTTTTGTTTCTTATACAACTTATTTTGTTACCTGGTTTACATTTTTAAGTATCTAAAATCTGTTATAATAGGTTAGGTAGTATATTGTTTATGTTATGATCCTTATGTACATAAATTTTTTTAACCAACATATCTATGAATAATAAAACTTTTACTAATATACATTTTTTGGCACAATAATACTAAATATCCATTAGACTTCTTTATGGAAGCAAAGGTAAGGACTCTTTAAAGAGAGCCAGAGTATTATGGTGCAGCACACAAAGGCTGTTTAGAGCGTTTTAATTCTCTTTTGGAGATGTAAGAAATTCCAATAGGTAACATCTTAGAATTTCAATTTTAGTCAATCTGCACTTAAGAAAGTAAAGTTATGTGTTATACAATACTTTTCTCCAAAAAACTGTCCAACAATAATTAATTGTAAAAATTGCAACACAATTAACAAATCAGGTAATAGCTTAAGAAATTTATTTGTATAGAAATTACATCATTAAAATTTGTAATACACCACCATTTTTCTACAAATGGTAGGAAGTCAAAACTTTCACAAAAAGTTTCTTTAACAAATCGTTTTTAGTTTCATGGATAGGTAAATTTAGTTTCAAAATTTTCAATACATAAACAGCTAATATAGTCCTAAAATCAAACGTCTAAACCTCTCTTTGGGTCACCCTGTAGATGTTGACCGATATTTCAATATTGCCTCATTTGGCTTTCAGGTGTGCGTCTCACTGTTGGGGACTTGGAGTGGGAAAGGAACTGAAGTCTGGTCCGTCATCAGTAATCTACTTCAAGTTATAGTCAGCATACAAGGTAAACAAACATTTTATAATACCTCAGTGCAAAACCGAAAACAATAAGACTAGCAGTGTGCTTGAAATTCTTATTAGGCTGGATTGTATTTAAAAATATATGAGAGTAGGATCATATTTTGATACGTTAATAAATTGTTTTTAAATGTTTCTTTTAGTTTACAGTAACCATTTGCGTGCTAGCTGAATATGGTTTTAAACCAATGGGATCTAATAAAGCAGTTATAAAACGTACAATATATTTATTTATATATTTTTATTAATATATTTTTTTATGATTTTCGTATTTCCTGTTTTTTAGATTTGTGTGCACTTTTATGGCTAAAGATCTAACCATAGACTAACCAACACAAGTAGACTTCTCATCCCATTGTAAATTTTGAAGCACGTTTTTCGTGTCTAGTTCATGTACGTGACACAAAGGCGCTAGTGTCGATGAAACTTTGTTTCCATTATTTTAGGGTTAATTTCTTGATTTGTGCTTTACTGTTTGGTTATATAACTAGGGGACAGGTTATTGTTTATGATTAGATCGTATTATTTGGTTAAACGAGGTTTTAAATGGCTGTAATAACGGGAAACAAATTGTAAACAAAACGCGACCTCTACATAAACCGTACATGAACTAACAATAAAATTGTCTTCAGCTGTTCCATAAGGATGAGAAATCTACTAAGGGAGTATGTTTTATCTATGATCTAACCTTTGACCATAGATTTTTCCTAAACCTAAACTCCAAAAAAATTGTATTTCTGATAACTGTCCAAATAAAAATATAACATCAAAATAAAAAATAAATAAAATGCTCACATTATTAGATGCACAGCCTTAACCCGGGTTCTACTGGTGTATGAAATGATAGATTTGCATAACACTGATGTCGTTCATTGCAGGCCTAATACTAGTCAGTGAGCCATACTTCAACGAGGCCGGCTATGAGAAGCAGAAGGGATCTCAGCAGGGTCGGGAGAACTCGAGGATGTACAATGAAATGGTGGCGCTCAAGTTGGTACAAAGCATGAGCAAGTTGATACTTCACCCTCCACCAGTGTTCAGACAAGAGGTGTTCGATCATTTCAACAGCAACGCTCACAAGTAAGTGTTAAGAATAAGAACTCGTAGATTAAACATGTGATTATTTCTGGTAAATCTTGTAGGTTTAGCCGATTGTTAACTTGGTGTACACAACTTTTAAGTGTGTGGATGGCAGATGACTTTTTCTTAAAAATACAGTATGAAACTCTTCCACCTTTACAAAAATTGCATGAAAAGTGAAAAGGCCTTGTTTTACTTAAGAAATAGATTGTTGCCAAAGAGTTGCTCTGAGTGTGTATATGACCAAAGCAGTGAAAATAATATAATATGCCTTTCTCTTCTGTATATCATGCAGAACATTTCACACTTTACAGATGGTTCTATGGATAAAAATAGAAAGAAAAAACTTTTTTATCCGTAACTTATGTGTTCTCTCTGGTTTGGATATTGGTGTGTCTTGAAGTTTTTAAAATTTTATAGAGTAGACCCTCTTTTATCTGCCTCCATCTACGTGAAAATAGAAGACGTATTAAGAGCTGACCTTTCCGACCAAAGTTATGGAATGTGAGAATCAAGAATTATTGAAATCGTTGTGTTATCTTGTATCAGGTTGTGCAATAGACTGGAGAGCTGGCTGGAAATATCTGAGAAGTACAATGACTCACATCCTTTGTCTCCAACTACGCCAACATCGTTCCGTCAACTACACAGTGATGAGATCACAAACCACTGTAACGTCCCTCTGCCAGAGTTTCCTCTCATTCCCGCCTCTAAGGGGTTCTGTCTCACATTGCGCAAGACACTCGTCACTTTCAGAGAAGTCCTAAACTCGGTGGGCATACCCGAGACTAGTTAGCCCATGAAGAACTTCTAGCCAGGTTTTTTACAAAATTAAGTTGTATTTATTGTAACGTAACTCTCGAATGATTTGTATTTTGGTGTGGAGTTGCATGTAAAGAGGCTATTTTCGAAGCGTTGTTATTTATTTAGGGGGACACAGTGAGTCTGGTAGGTGTGTTAGTGTGAATCCGTATTGTTATAAACGTTAAATATATTTTCAGATTTGTTCCCAAAAACTCATACGGTATTGAAAGTCCTTTGTGTGAATGTTTACTTACACCCGAGAATCGTAGCAGACATTCTAAGAATAAATTGTTACGTGGTGTGTACAATGTAAGTGAAAAACCTTAACTATGTGCTGTAGAACTATCATTTTCACACTAATCTCACCTTTCCTCACCCACTGTGTCGCCTTGTGTTATGGTGTATATATATGCTCTAAGCACTATTATTATATTAGTGTATTGTAGGTTAGGTTAGTAATCGCAAGAGACTGGATCAGTTTATAATTTGATGTTTCTCGTGTTTTTTATCCCATTGTTGATCTTGTGACATAGATTTATAACACTAAGGGCCCTTAACCCCAGTCGCATGTGAGTTGTTCGATTGTATGGGAGAACGACTGAGTCATTATTGTTAAGTGAGTTCGTCACCCCCCTAAGGTATGTGGGATATTTACCAGATCGGGGTTAAAGGGATTCATGGCCTCAGGCTTAGCTTTGTTTAGTTCCTTTTGATTATGTCAGCCAAGATTGTACGGGTTAAGATGGTACATTTTCCTCCTGTCCAAGATTTTAAAGGTTGCTTACCGATAATTATTTTAAGTTTGTGTTTTTGCTATCGTGTTCAGACTCGTAATTTTGTATTAATATTTGGTGAAATCAAAATTTTTTAAATTTTCCAGTACTAATTTTTTCCCCCTAATGTCAAGTCTAGGAATGTAAAAAATTGCCTTCTTATTTTTTTACTTAAAAAGTTGTTGATTTTCATTCTACACATTTACATAGTAGCAGTAGCATTTTATCATTTATCTACTGAAATATCAATTCAAAGTTAGACTTATTTAGCATTTTTCCACGCTGTCATTGAGATTGAGCGATTTGATTAGATTCTTTCGTCTGTCTGTAAAGTTACTATTTCTTGGATAGGAAGGAAGATTCAATGTCCATATCATTGTGACTTGCAGATATTCTATTTTAATTAATAGCTTTCAACCAAATATGAAATAGTTTGTACGGTTTGAATCTTGAAATATTTTTATATTGTAGGTAATATGTGTAGCGTTTTTTTTTTGTCAGCTTTTTTATTTTTCTCTGTTGTATTTATAGTTTGTATTTATCTTACATTAAGATTACGATTCACGTTTAAGTTTTATGTTGTATTATTTCCAATGTTAAAGCATTTGTTGTTGTTCTAATAAATAAAAAGACACAATAGTAAAAATTTTAAGTTGTTATTTTTAATAGGCCTAGATCGTCTGACATTAATTTCAGTTGTCATAGTTTGGTAAAAATGGCTTACAATTTTTCTGGATAATTTTGAGCTTGGTATTTATTGAGAAAAGAATAATAGTTGGAACCATTTTTAGATTTGTTCTCTTTATCGATCGATATCCATTTAATATCTGTATCTTTCTCATATACAGTACACTCCCGATTAACCGAGGTTGTTGGGACCGAGACTACCTCGGTTACTAAGAAACTCAAACACGGAGATCGCATTGATTTTAGCTTAGGGGTAGGAAGTCACCATTTAAGGTTCCACATTAGGAAGTCAAAAAGTTGTAAAATTTGTCTTTTAAACGTAGTTACTTATTGAATGAAAAATTATCGAATAGAATTGTCATGCAAACTTTTTTTTATAAGTTAGTGTTATTAAAGAAAAATATAATACAAACATACTCAATATTCTTTTTAAACTGTCTTGAATAACTTCAAACACAACATTATTGCAATTATGCTAAACCAATACTGTACTCTGCAGAATTTGAAACAGAACAGTGTAAGCTGATCCTTATGGTTACATTTGGTTTGAGTTTGACCTAAGCTATAACTAGACAACCATGTCTTCCTCAAAACATTGTAATGATAAAAACTGGCACTGCTATTGATTAAGTTACATTCTGCTTACTGCTTGTCCAGCTTGTCAACTTTGCAATTTTTACATTGAAATTAATTATTATTTTCCGACTGATAACCGAGGTTATTATTTTCTGTGATAACCGAGGTTCGTATAATCGGGAGTGTACTATAGTATTTTTTAGATTGTTAAACATAATGTCTTATTCGTTCTTAGGACAACTTTGAGGTTGTCCTAGCAACTAAGTTAAAGTTATCATCAATGTCTGAATATCCAAAGTTAGGTGTTTTTGAAGGAGCAAAGTCAAACAGTATTAATAAAGCTGTCAACAAAATGTGTTCTAGGGAATTGAATCTATTTCATAATTTGTCTTATAAAACGTTTATATTAATAGTAATTATTAAGTCATTATGTATGATTTTATGTAGGTATAACAATTTTTCTGAAACCTGAATGCTTTAAAAAGATTAATAAATAATTTAATTGACTATTAGATCCTGAAGTAGACAGCCCATCTATCTGGACCAGCTGTTCATATATATATATATATATATTTTTTTTTTTCTTAAAGAACATAGTTGTGTTAGCTAGTCACAGAAAGTGCTAATGTCTAAATTTATACTTTCTACCTTATTTTTTGTTGCTGACCATGTTGATGGGTCATATCAAAATTGCTTTCGCTCACAGTCATTCAATTAGTTTAACTTGGTAAGAAAAGTTTGTTTATTCGGCAGAAATAAGCTTACATCAACTACGACAATTTTGATTTAAAACCTGGCGACAACTTATACGTGGGGATGGAATGTATAGTTGTCTCAAACAATAGCTTAAGATAACATTCAAGTTAGACTACCAATCCACATATTGCCCAACCCACTCTCTCTTGCTTGCCTTTTCAAGATGGCAGCAAAGAGCTTTTTGATTAAAAAAGATTTAAATAAAGACAGCTGTATATTTCTGTGTGGGGAGAGAGAGTTCTTCAATACATAGAATGTTCTCACCTTATCTGTTTTGGAATCTTTTTTAATTTTTTTGTAGACACACAGCCTACAATGTATGTAGCACAACCCGGTCACAACATTATTTTACAGGATGGTAGACAAGTTCCGTAACGGTTAACATATTTGTAACCATTTGATATAAAACGGTATAAATTGGTATATCTATGATAGTCATAAAAATCCACTTATTTCAGAAACTGAGGTTTTTGTCCTGGGCCACGAGGAGTAGGCCTAAGGGGGAAGTCTTAAATATATGCATCGGTTGATATGCACATAAAATTAGGAGGTATTTGTTTGGTAAAATCTAATGCTGCAAATTTGAGTTAAAAAAACAATTGAGTCAAAAATAGCAGTTGCTCAAAGATTTCTTGAATTTGCTTACATCTTTTAATGACTGTCATTTTTTACTCAGTGGTTTATTTAGCTCATATTTAGGGCATTGTATACTACAAATAAATAGCTTTAAAATTTGATTTCCTTCTGACTTCTAGCAGTAAATGGAATGTTATGTTCTGAGGAGGTATCGTATTACCTAGCAAATTCAAGAAATCTTAGAACGGGTGCCATTAATGACTAGATTGTCCGTTTGAGTTTGGGTTGCGTTATTGTATTTCACTAACAAAGACCTTTAATTTTATGTGCCTAGCAACATACGCTTACATTTAAGATTTTCTCCTGACTCCTAGCGAGCCTCTTATGAGATAACATCACTGAATAATTTTTTAATGGTTTTCGTGACTAGTAACTTTGTGGTAGGTTTGGTAGCTCTATCTTTATCATTTTTTAAATATTAAACCGTTCCGGGACTTAACACCCTTCTGTATGAATTCATCTCGGACAATATACTCTATCTGACAGTGATTCTCCATTGGTTTTAATATGATCCCTCAATATTTTTGTAAGATAATACTCCTGAAATATTTTTATCTCGGTGCTGCTAACTGCTAACTGAGTGCTTAAGTATATGCTCCATTGTCCAACCTAACTTTGGATGTCTTGGCTAATTTAGGTGTTTAATTTCATTCCACAATCCATTTATAAGGATTGCCATTCCAAAAGTACATGTATATAATGTAATGGTCAGCAAATAGTTCTATTGCGTTACCTAGACTTGTGTATTACTCTTTAGCGGGTCAGTTGGTGGTTTGGTGTTAGTTAAATTATATTTTATTTATTACCAATCAAATAGTTTTTTAAATTTTCAGTGTGATTAAGTTTTATTAGAAAATGTAGATACATTTATGTATTAACATTAAACAATTAACTTTGGATCTAGAAGTTTCCTTTCAATCAAACAATTACTTGTTATGAGTCAAAACAATTTGGTTTAAGGAAAAATTAATAGCGTTTTTACAAATCAATGGCAGAAAACAAAAGAGATAAAATAAGTTGTTTCTATCAACCCTAGTGTTTTGTAACTGTGCAAAATTTAATCTGAAATAGTTTATTTCATTAAGTCAATCTCTTATAGTTAATTAAAAATACACCAATCACTATTGACCCTTCAGTTACAGTTTCTGTTTAATTTAGTCTAGAAGATCAAACGCTTCCCATGAGAAATCGTGGCCCTTGTATCTTAATGCACAATAAATTCATCTTGTTTGTTGCTAAAACTGTTTCCTTGTGATCTTTTTCATAAATACCTACCTACCTTGGAACCCTTATTTAGTAGTAATCCATATATACCAAGCTTGTCCTTACTTTGCTAAGCTCGTCTATTCTAGATAACCTAATCCTGAGAACTACAGTAATAAGTTAATCCTAATAGGAAATTTGCTATTGGGATTATTTAATAAAATTGTGCTAATCTCATAACATAACTGAACCAAACGTCTAGAACGTTAGCAAACTCTTTTTGATGTCAGGAAAGGCATGTAAGGATGGTGGGTCAGGTTTCATGCAAATTCTAGGCTATATTAAGTTCCTTGAAGGTAGGTTGTAATAGGTAAAGTTTAGATATAGGTTATACTGAACCAAGTCGTTAGTTTATGTTACCTTTACCTCCAGACTGTTTTTGTACAGTTAAAACCCAGAGAAAGTTTTTTCTGTGTT